AGCACTTGCCATTTAGGATAAGCAGACCCAATTTCTGGCAGTAGAAGGAGAAGTATTGTTGGGGTGGCCTGGTGCAGCACAGGCGAGCAAGATTTCTCTAGCTTTCGGTTCTGGTTCGCATTACGAATAGAGCTATGGTCGTTTGACAGAGACCCCACATCTGAAGTCTTTCAATTAACGCTGGCTCTTTGTTCCACCCAAAGACACAGCAGTTGGATCCTTTTGCTCCTGAAACCCCGAATAGTCCATCACTTGCTGAAGCCCCACAAGGTGCCTGTTTTATTACGTGGTCCCGCTGACCACACTGCAACCACTTGAAGTGAAAATTTGGGCTGAAAGCGTCACTGATAATGCAATGGTTCATATATATTTTGCAGCTTTTGCGAGCCAAAATTTCACATATCTTAAGTTACCGATTTACTGATAGATTCTGCTGTTCCAGCTGTCTCAGTGCTTTCAAAGCTTGCTGTTCAGCTGAACTGTGCAAAAGCTGATGATTCACAGTGTGTATGAGGGCTTGTAGCTTGTTAGCCCATACAAGCAGACGAACTTCTCTGCATGAGCAAAGGCACTATTGAACCACTTTTTCACTTACAGACATGTCCCAAGGATTACTAGTTCCTATGCGTGTGCAGGGTAATATGCGATGTACATCCCCAATCGGCCAATGAACTCTTCAAGCAACTGCTAGCCCTAACGGGCGTCATGCGCTTTCTGGTCTGCAAAGCCTTATCCTGTCCTTTTCATTCATTCGGCGGACACATCAAGCCGTTCTACCACCTGTGGAGCAACAGCCTTTACATGAGCTTGCAGGCCGGCCTCTGCCTCGCCAACAAGCTTTGTGCCGTCCTCTACTTCCACTTTTGGACGAAATGGTGCCAAATGAAGTCGGATTAATGACTATTGACACGATGTTATTGGAGCCAGCCAGACGATGTGGGGCAGCCTGGCATTTCATGGAATCCACATATAGTGGATAAGCGGGGAGTAGCTGCACTAAACGATGCTAACCACTGTTATGATCTATGTGAAATTTTCGTTAGGAGGCAGCTAATGTCGGACTAAATACACACTCTAGAGAGTAACATAATGTGTACCGCAAAAAGCTTTCTTCATCCCCCTCCCACGGTCCCTAGGGTTCTCCACCTGAGGCGGCAGGGACAGCTGGAGCCACAGATCCGCATCTTTCAAGAAATCTGGGCATTCCCAGCTAGTCGTGCTGTGCACGAACCGCACACGAAGACAACTTTGCGTCTTGTATTGAGTTAGCAGCACTCTGGAGCTAACGCTATTTACTAACATTTGAACCAAGAAGTCACATTTTCATTAATTCATGTTGTATGTAGTTAATGTAGTATAAAGTGAGTAAGTGTAGTTTCTTTCGCCACAACCCAGGTTTGGCATGGCCCACATCCATGTAAACGCGTATGCAAGTTGCTAATGCATTCCTCGAACACCGACTTCTTATTCTCACATTTGACTAGCAGGGATCGGTCCTAGGGGGAGGAAGGGAAGTGAGTGTCAACTTAGTTGCACTGCATTATCCATACACACAGTTGCCCTCAGAAACAATACAGAGGAACATAACAACCAATCTTGTAGTCTGGAGTTAGCCTGATCTGCAGGAAACAAAATATGCCAACAAACGAGGCACTTACTGAATTAGGAAGCGGTCGGTAAATAAGGACCGCCTAGCAGTAACTGAGCTACGTGAGGCTTTCTTCGCTACAGGTCTGCTTTTGTACAAGCAAAGCAGTCAGCTTCCAGAATGCTGTGCTTTAGCTACAAGGAAAGCCCAGACCACCTAGGCATATGTTATTAAGGCCCTCGCCTAATAGGTGCCTTAATTTTTTCGTGAGTAGTCGCTGGCTTGTCATGGATTTTCCTTATCGGCATAGCACCAGGTGGTGCTTGGGGGCACAAGCCTCTGGGAACAGCAATAAGAGCACTGGCAGCAGCAATTATCCCCAACGTTTGGACCGAAAATAGCCAACGTTTGTACTGTATTTTTATCTGTGTCTACATAGTGCTGCTGCAAATGCTGAACGTCTTCTAGTTACTCGTTGGCCTAGGGAAAAGTGTCGAAGCTCTGCAGCAGCTGACAGCTCCACATACCTGGTGCTCCCACTGCCTCAGCCAAAAGGCAGTAATATCCATTGTATTAGCCCACAAACGAGAAAATGGACCACAATGCGCCGGGTGGATCTGTCTTATTCTACACGGCAAGAAAGGACCAGCTGGCACGAAAGTCGGTGTCACGGTGAACAAGGTAGTAATCCGAATTGAAAACTCGCCGCTCACGAATAGCATCAGGGACTACTCGTATGTATGGCCTCTAGGGCAACAAAAACACAAGCAGCGGTAACACCAGTTTTTCCGTCGGTGGCAGAGGACCGTCTTCTCTTGCAGTTCGGGGGCATTTACCAGTGAGGATCGAACTTCCAATGCTTTAGGCCTCTTTTTGGTGCAGCGTGTGCTGTGCATGGTGTCGGTATCTTGCTTTTTGTGGCGGCCCACAAGAAAATTACTGTTTCTCTCTGTGTATGGTGTATTGCGTAGAGCTGTGGGTATCACTATGGCTACGTGTACCGCTTGATCTTTGAAGAAAAGCCCTTCACCACTACCGTTAGCGACAGGGGCAGAAGGTGAGAGTCAAACACCAATTCGTGCCCACCACAAATGCATGCGGCAAGTGGTTGCACCAAAATTTGGATGTTTCTATACACATGCCTCTGAAGCTACCCACTGGTGCGTCTACCCCACGGATTCAGTAGTGATACTGCCTACATCAGAGCACCTCCACCTATGATTTTGGGGATAACCAGCGCTCTCGTACGTGGGAGCCGCTGTGTTTGTGTCTGTGAAGCTTCACCGTCACCCTGCTTTTGTTAATACATGAATTTCAGCTGTCTGAGGAGTGGCAGGCGGCCGCGACTGAGCCATTGCAGCGGCAACACAGGCTTTTCGAGACCAAAGTCCGTGCTGTAGTAGCCTTTCCTTTTGCTCGTTTATGTCCTTTTGTTGCATTGCGATACAACTGGTGCAGTATTTGTTGTTGTCAGTGTCTAGGCACCTTAGTCTTGATGAGCAAACTTGCGAAATACTGCTCTAGTGTGTCACGGATGTTGCTGGTGCGCAACGTACAACCTCTGAGGCATGTCCGAGTGGCGATAAAAGCAGTATAAGCAATAGCAGCAGGCTAGCCACCAGTGCTGTTCCACGCAATACCAGCGAAATTGGGTCGTCTTGCCTGATACACTGAAACCTTGGCCACCACGCCGGATGTTGGTCATGCAACAAATTCCACTTCTCCATCTTGTGCACTCTCAGCAGATGCAGAAGCACTACGGCAGCATGCAGGAATAGCGAAGCAAGGGAGTACTGAGTAGCTCATCTAAATCAAACGGCTTTCTCTTTTGGCAGTCTTGATGGCAAGTTACCACCTGTTATCAGAGCTTTTTGAAATATGGATCCGATATAGGGAGTACGGATACTTAGTGAACCATTTTGAGGGGCTGCAAATATGTCTGATTTATAAGGCCCTCCATTGCTCATGGTCACGCAACTTCTCCAACCTGGCTACCGGGTAGCTCTCTTTTGTGGTAATGTATAACCATGCACTCGTGTCGTTCATTAAATTCCGACCTTGCAGTCTCGCGCTTATAGATTGCCGGATTCTTATAGTAGGGTGGGGAGCAGAGACCGAAAACAGGCAGAAAAAGGGCGGCGACAGGAGGCGTGGTGTGGTGTTCTGTGCACAATGAAACTTCCGGTCTTCGAAGGTCTGAACGAAATACATCTGAAAAGCGACCATATTGTAAGAAGTTCAATTCGTTTCACTGCTTGCCAAGACATAATCAAACACGATATTGTGTACACGTCAATTCTATTGACTGCGCACTGGGGAGGCAGCGGGAAACGCTTGCTGGGAGACAGCCCAATATTCAAAGTAGAGGCGGCTGCTGTTCCGATGGGAGGTCAACCCTTTAAGTTTGATGGCTTCACCTTGGCTAACACTTGGCATACAAGCACCTCAAGTTGTCGGCTTAGGTGCATACGAGAATCGCAGAAAGCATCATCCGGGGATTGCACACAGAACGAAAGTGGATTGGATGTAAGCAATAGGAGATGTACTTTGGAATGTCCGTAAGCACTGATGGGGTTTCCTTTTTTTTTATGTTTTTAGCCATTAGCCCCTTAGGAGGTATTAATGCGGACCCTTTCCATTTCAGGATAACGAGCTTTGTCATAATGCGGGTACATCTTCTGTACAAGCAGCACACAAAAGACTTTTAAATCATCTTCAAATTTGGTGTTCAGAAGCACCCCTGATTTGACTGTTCTCGTTGCACATTTCCCTATATTCACTAGAGTAGAGCATCTGTGCCTAGAAATAATGGAATCAGGTTCCTACTTCTATTGGAAGAACAAGGGTAGTATGCCAGCGCATGGGGGGGGGGGGGGCCGCAGGGGATCTACGAAAATGGATCCTCGCTTCCTCTGTGTCTACCTTTCATGGACAATGATAACCAGCAATCATCTCTCTTCCTGAGAGTACGAACATTAGAAGCAGTTGACGATAATGAACACAGGTAGAAAGGCATACTCATAGCGCAAGAATCAGCACAAATGGGCAAAAACATGGCAATCAATACAAGGAGCATCGGTCTCTTGTGATCTCTAGCACTACTAGATATACCCCTTGAAGGAAGATGTCAGAATACATAAGAAAGACAAAGCGTTGCGCTCTTTTCCGTTTTCGCATAGAGCGATCTAGGCTTTTCCCATAAGCCAATTGAAGCGATGCTGCTATCAGATTATCCTCATTTCTTTAATTTGACGAGCTGAAAGAGTACTTCATGGGCCAAAAGGAGTGTATGTCCATCAACATTCCGTCGGTTGTCGCTTCCGTTCGTACAGCTTCCGCTGAAGTTGTTGCTGTTGTCCAGATTCCCTGTCGGGTATTCCAGTCTCGGCGTCTTAATACAGCAGTAATCACCCTAGGATTCATTCCACTTTTTATCCTCATCTCTCCAAGATTGCCACGATTCCGATTGGAACGCTGTGACGACTTGTTCACAAAGTAGTTGTCGTTTTAGAGCCACGACCACCTCCGCTGAAGGCCTCTGGTTATTGCTGTATGTATCAAGCGCAGAGATCAGCAAGAGAATAAGTTCTTCGATCTGCGACAGCCCCTGAGCTGGTAGAGATGATTGCCCGACGTTATGCTTGGCAGTGGCGACTACATCCATTAGCTTCGGCCACCAAATTTGCTTCCCAGAACTTTCCCCCAGCACCTCGGCAGCACAGTATAAGGCATCCACGACCAAAAATAAGAGTCCCAGTAATTCGGCTTTCTTAGCAGGCCCCCAACGTCTATGGTGCAAAGCCATATCAGTCGTTACATAGGCAACGAGCTTTTCAGCAAGAAAGAGCATATCCTTCGTTTGTTTTCCTGTTAAGGAGGGCCTCTTCAAGAGGCTCGCCAATGACTGCAGCAGTTGGGATACTTGTGTGAATTGCTCACGTATGGCAGCAAGCCCTCGTCTTTCACTATATCGCAGCCTCATACTTCCGCCTTGGGTCCCAACCGGAAGCCAATAAAACGGATGCTCGCTGAGACTGCCACTCGAGGGCGAACCACCGGGCAGCAAGGGGCCTTCTGATGTGACAGAGACGCCAGCTGTCGATGTTGTGGGCTGAGAGTAAAATTTCAGGCACAAAGAGATGTAAGAAAGTGCCCATCGGCATCTTGAGTTTTGCGCACAGGCAAGTGTAGGGAAAACAATCGTGACAGCGGAAGGATTTAGAAACTGACTCTCCGCTACAGGGTAGATAGTCAGAACTGAAAAAATAACTGAATGGGGACAGGATATAGAATATTCTGAATGGGGAAAGGACGTGAAATGCCACCCACAAGGACAGCCATAATCGTAATAGAGATGACATCTAGAGCTGGATTCTATGCACAGCTGAAGCGAGGCACTCTACCCAACAGGCTGCAACCAGCTATGAAGGGCGCACCATTTGTTCATCTGAGTCAGTAGGCTCTGTGACCCCTTCTGCCTGCTTCCCGATTGAAGAGTGCACTACACCTGGCACGGCAGGTGAGGCGGGAGACACGGTACTCAATTCAGAATCAGTCGAGCTTGAGATAGGGCCCTCTGTCTCCAGCAAAGAGTCTTCCGTTTCAGAGAGGGATGAATCGGCCGGGGTTGTCGATGTCTGCTTCACCAGAGGCACACGTACATTCCATGAACAAGGGGGCCGCTTGATGGGTTAAGTTTACCACTTGCGCCAAACGCGCACTGCTATACTTGGCTGCAAGACACTCTGCTGTGGGGCTTACCGCAGTTGGCGTGACAGGCGAACTGACGGAAGACGACGAGGAAACTCCTGGCTTGCTAGCAGTGTGTGCAGAAAGAGTCTCGGAGTCTACGCTGGGTAAGGATGGACTACCAGGTGGAGAGGTCTGCAAACCATCCAGCGATTCCCATAATGTGTCCTCTGGGGTAGCAGCATCGAGTGCACCTCCCAAGGCAATATCTATCCACTCGTCCACACTTAAGCCATCTTCCTCTGCAGCTACCATGGAGTCTATTACTGAATTTATGGATTCTGACAAAGGTTCTGGAGGTTCCAGCAACGTCCAGTGCTCTTCTTTCGCGCACTTGGCATCCGGTGATCCTCCATCCTCATCATCGGCCGGTCGCTTCTTCGCTTCACCTTCTCCTTCCACATGTACCGCCTGCGGCGCTGAAGGTCCCACAGGCGCTGGAATCACGCCTTCTGTACCGAAGGCTGCTGCTTCTGTCCCTTCATCTGAAAGAACTCCTGAATGGTATGATTCTGGGGAAGTTTCTGCCGTGTTTTCCCCAACGCTGCAAAAATCTGAAGTATCTGATTGGTCTTCCCCGACTTGACGACCATTGCCTTCCGCCAACCGACGCCCAACTGGAGATGGCCATGCCTGCCTTCTCCTAGACAACTGACAAATGTAAACAAGGAACACTAACGCTGTGACAGTGGTAAGTGCCACCAGTATCGAGCCTGCAATTGAAACCATTGCTTTTCCCCCCAAACGGAACAAGTCGACGTATCCAGGCCTGCGGCGTTTAATGCTAGTCTCCAAGGAAGTCATGCCCGGAGAATATTCAAATAGATTACCTCCAGAGAGTTGATCTGGGCGTGAAATGCCACCTTCCATTGTATCTTTTCACCTGAAACTTCAAGTATCTGAGTCGTGCTTGCTTCGGGAAGGGGTACTACAAATATCTTTTTGTTTTCGCTTCGATCACTTCAAACAGTTATGAGGTGAATATACACACTAGGTGTAACCAAAAAAAGCCTGAAGCCCCTTGTAAGCTCGTGAAGACTAGCTGCACAGGCCCTGCTAGACGCCTTTTACATTTGCATATCTCAAAATGCAGATAAAAAGCAAGGCGTGTAAAGCTGCAGCGAGTAATAATAGCCCTGCTCAATTCAAGACTTCATTTCAAAAGGGTAAAAGTGTTAAAACAAACCCCGTGGTGTCTTGCTACATCATAAACGCTCCCCCCACCGTGAATCGACAGGGAGGAGTCCTCTGGCGAGCCAGTTGGGACAGCCTTCATATGGCACTATGCCACGTGGAAGAGATAAACTGCACGGTTTCTACTGATTATTACTCGCGAAAAGCCAAATGATGCACGTCTAGTTCGATGTCATGTGTCATTCGCACACTTCTTTCAACGTTGATGCTCGTGGAAACCGATTCACCTGCAGGCGGGGGCTGCTTTGCTAAAGTGCCCTTGATCTGCGCATAGAAGCAGAATAACTCGTATAGGAGGCTTTGATTTCCTGCCTCACATTTATCCAGAAGATATTACGCTCATTACGCCGTCTGTTTAACACCGATAGCAGCCCAAAACTCTCAAAACCTGGGAGTAGCTGTAACACTCCTATAGGGTCTTCGCGAGAAGACCCTCCAATCAAAAACCTAGCAACGCTTATGAAAAGCCCTTTTAGCGGAGACTCAAAATTAGCTCCTACAATTTTTTTCTTACCGCACACGGTTACGGTTTATGGGGAGGCAAGATAGACAGGTTGTATGTAGCTACGCCCACTGCGTAGCAACGCGAAGCTAAGATTGGGTTCTCCTACTACATTGCTTAGGAGTGGGTCCTGGACTTCCGAATAATGGAGTAGCGGGCTAAGCCACGCTTAGGCAATTTCTATTGCACTATCCATACCCAGTGAAGTAGTAGAACAGCATTCTCTATTGAACTTAACTGCCTGTATATCTTATTTGCTGTAGAATAGTGTTCGTTTTCTAAATTGAGTGGCCATTTGAAGAGAAAGTGGTCGCTCTGCACTGATTCTTACACTTTGAGGCTTCGCGCAAGCCCTGAATCACATGTCTATGCTAAGGCAAACAGCAGCAGGCTGTGAAAAAGCGCTGAGAAAATTCGAGCAGGAGATAGATCAACGTATCGAGAAATGTGAAGCTTTGGTTCACAAAACACCCGACGTAGATCAGCACCTGCTTTATCAGCTTTTCTGGGGTCTGCCCAAATTTTTCGGTAAGGTGGGTGCAGTTTGGGCAGCGACCCCTCGATAAAACCAACGAGTCGGGGAGCTTCCACAAGTAAGGGGTTACGAGCGCTCCAAAAACAAAAGGACACAGCTACTGCGTTTCCGGCCAATAACAAAGTACGAAATCAGATATCAAAGCCAAAGAATGCAGGAATCGTGTCAACTAGCCTCAAGTTTTTCCAAGTAGAGACCAAAAGAAATCCAGAGGAAGCCAGTGCTTCCATTTTAGCACTAGAAAGCCCCCAACAGCACGCCTCAAACAACGGACAAGCTGCTTGGCAAGGCCCAATAAGGCGTATCAGCGAAAGAGTGAGACTCCCACAGCCTGCGGTGTAGTGAAGGGGGCTGCAGAGGGTAGGGTTACAAGGAAGGAACCATCATGATTCAATGCTTCGCTTGAAACAATTAAAAACAATGTGCGAGAACTTCTTTGAGACTGGAATGACAGTAAATATGTTATATACGGCAATGGCACACCAGTTCAACCTTTGTGTCCAATCGTGAGCACCACCCATACAAACCAACAATGCTGATGGCAAACAAAATACAAGTGTTGCCAAGGCTAGAGCACACAAACAAGAATACTAGGAGGCAGAAGCGCCCCATGCTTCGTAGTAGGGAATTGCTTGTCGCGGAAGTGAAGCAGTTTATGACCATCTCAAGGGTGTGTAGATGGCTGTCCGCCTAGACAGCGGTTTAGTCTTAAGCCAAAATGTTCAAGAGCACCTTCAGCACCTACGGCGCGCGCAGCTGCTGTAAGAGGACTAGCAGTAGTATATGACGTCATGTAACTACTCGATTTTTATCAGAGCAGTTATGTTTCTGGGATTCCTTTTTCGATTGCAGACACTAGAGACAATCCAGCTGATGTTGAAACGTGCAAGGCGTGGCCTTCACTTCATCTTGGCGCTTCCGCAAGAATGCTCAAAGTAGTACAGGCTTGCATCTTAGCGCGGAAACATCTTTTCTGGACTTCCTATAATCGCTACGTCTTTCAATGATTATCTACCTCGAAAAACGCAGTATTTGACCCGACGAAAGAAGGTTGGTGCCGCAACAAGGAGATTACCAATCGCCGTACAGTTTCCCCGCTACTTGTAATGCCACATTTAGGGTGTATCACATCATCTTAGTGACCGTTGTTCCTCGAGTAGCGCTCGATGCTAAGATCTCCCAAGAAGCTTCTGAAGCTGCAAAGCATAACATTATTGCATGTTTTCCTCATCACTTTACCGAAACTGCACAGGGATATCCAAGGAGAAAAAGAAAATTCTTTAGCAATTGATTTGCTGCGAAAATCTAAATATTATTTATGTGGAAGTCACGTTTACCGTCCAGAACAATCACCACCCTTGCACGCACCGAACAAAGACGTTTTAGGATTTTGAAAGGTCTGGGGTTCTTCGCGGCCTAAGGCATCCTCTGTAGGATGAATTTACAGTGGTGTATATCAAGTGAATCATTAACGTGATCGCCAAAGCAGTATCGCAAGGCCACAGCGTTTCAGTATTGCGCAGAAAAAAGTTTTTCGATTTATGGTAGCTAAAGGTCTCCATTGAGACTGCGCAAACTTTTTCCTATTACGAACCGTGTATCGGCTGGGCTTACAAAAAATTGATACTGGCCAAACTAATGAAGCGCTGTCATGTTGAGGATGGCGCGTTGCGCTCCAAAGCACAAAGGGAACTCCGTCAGCTGTACACTAGCACTTTCTTTTGTAGTGCATCGTCGTACGCAGCACATCTTCAGGTCCTTTTGACCACACCGCGATGTATACTACAATAAAGGAGCTTCTTCAGTTTTTCTGGTGGCGGGAACTCGTGTCTCCGGGGGGACAAATATGCATTGACACCCACGCAATCAACCGCTGAAGCCATGCCACTCTCCTGAATCCGACACTTTCCAAGCATTCAGCTTCCTGAAAAGACTTGTAGGGACCTTGTTCTAGTTGTTGCACTTGGACTGCCGGAGGTCAAAGTCAGGATAATATTTGCTCCGTCGCCGACAGACTCAGTACATATGCCTCTTTCCCCCTCTGCTCCAGCTCTGTCATGGCTCCGTGGATTACCCACGATTATCAATGCGGAATCGACACTCGATATTTGTTACTCCGCTCTGTGTGCCTGTTGTGAGCCGCCTCCTCATCGACAATCAGAGGACCACTGCGAATCAACTTGAGGCCGACGCACAGGACGCGCCAACAGCACTCTTATACAGTATTTGGTACTTTATACTCACAAAATGCCAGTTGCTTAGCTTGGTGTTTTCCTTCGGCTGATTGGATTCAAAACATAAAGTACACCCGTCTTCACAGACTTCTTCGCCCAGCCAATTGACTCTAGCGGAGCCGAACGATCGACAAAATGTCCTAGAAGTGCTGAACTCGAGACTATCCGGGCACCATCACAAAATTCTCTGCAGGCAATGAAGCTCTATACTGATCTTTCCTCGAGTTAGTTGGCTTGGTAAAGGGATTGCTAGGTTTAAAAGGCACATCAGAATGCACAAACGAACTTCGGATTTCTATCCGTTATGATACTGGTGGACAATTTTGTGACACTTTCTTAAGCGAGGTAAAAGTAATCGAGCAACTGAGCCGTTTCAGAGCTAAAGCGAGGGTTGAAATCGGCATATTGCTGGATGCGCTAGACGGGAGGTTTTGATGAAACTCGTTGGGGAGTAACCACTTGATAATTGGCGAAGATTTGATTACAAGATGTTCTGCCTGTGGGATACTTTGTGGCTGCGGCTGGCCAAGAACGCCAGTCTCAATGGAGGGCCTTCCTCGCGCGCTGTGGTAGATGTCTCTCCCTAGCTTATACTCTGCCTGAATTACCAATTTTAATCTTTGAGAAGTGTTTGGAAAATGATGGTTGTCCTTGCTATGATGTTCCCTACATTCCGTTTTATGCTTAAGCACTCTAAGATGTAGTGTCTGTTTATTCTTCCTTATGCCTCGTTTTGTGGATTTGAATCCTGACTCTGCGACCTGAACTGGTTGAATTTCCACATAGACAGCACACTATGATGGGCGGGGCCACAGCCAAAGTAGTATGTATCTTGACTTCCTTTGTGCAGTTTGTGTATTGTATTTTCTTGCAGCAGGAGGCTCACACATTCCAGTCCTCCGACAACACAAAGCCACTTCAATTCGGTAGTGGTGTTTGCTTGGTCTTTCATCCGTTGATTGCCAGTGTATATGCCTTTAAGCCTATTAATATTCTTTAGAGAAGCGCAAAAAATATGCTTTTTTTTCTCTTCACTGTTTTTCGCGTTTCTTCGTACGTGTGGGCAGGCGATAGGGCGGCAACCCTTTTGCTTTCCCGCACTCATATGTTATCGAAGAAGAAGTGCGAGCACAGGCCCCTGAGCTTTGGAATGGGAGGCATAAGATGTAGCTGGCTAAGCTACACAAACCTTTTCTACTAAACCAGGTATATTTAAGAAGTATCATAGATTCGACTCACTGGTTTGTTAGTTGCGCATTTTATCTCTTGCAGGATGCTGCTAGATCGATACGAGAAGGCGCCGAGTAAACTGCGTGTCCGCTGGATGCTACTTACACCTAGCTGCGAGTATTTGGGGTGCTTAGAAGGTGCAGCAACGCGAACCCTAGCTCTCCTCTTGTCATGTCGGGAACCACAAGGGACGTAGGCAGGCAAAGGTGTTTTGACACTCAAAACCTTTCTATCAGCTTTGTATTAGCCTGATAGAATCTCTGGAGGCTATTGATGGATTGTCAGTTTCTCCAATTTGGCGAAATGATGGGAATAGCACGACCTGATTTTAAGCTTCGAAGAACCTGGAGCCTATTGGGAGAGAATTGCAACCGCTGCTGCATCGCCAGCACTGGATGATAGAGAGAAATAAGATCCAAAGGCAACACAATTACTGCAGGGACTGGAAGGCTGCTGGTAACGTTTTTGTCGTGGCATCAGGTTTCTATGCTCAGGTACAGACCGCGTTTTCTAAAGTATAGCACTTAAAGTGCAGCAATTTGACAAAGTCTAGAAAAGAAAATTAGGTAAGAAGATGCAAGCATTCTTTTAGCGTTCGTATGGAAGCGCCAAGATGAAGGCCACGTTTTGCATGCTTCTATCTTAGCCTGATTGACATTAATTACTGCATCCAAAACATGAGATCCCGGGAATGCCTGTTCTCTTGGAAAACAAACATTTGTGTGCCTTCACATGCAGTTGATAGTGTTGAAATAGCAGAAAGGCACACCGTAGGTGTTGTAGGACTTTTCGGCTGAAAAACATAGGTGGCGTTTTCTGGAGACAACTATTCACTTCACCAGCATAGGTTCACAAAACTATTGACTTGTCAAGTAATTGTCCACTTCTGGGCATTGGGAATTTCTGCCCTCCAGGGTTGCCCTTCTGGGGCTTGGAGTTGACGTACATCTGTCACCGCTTGTCCTCTTGGCACCAATATCGGGTCATCCCCAAAGGGGCTGCACGATTGCTCGACCCTGCCTTTTAACAGTGCATTCGCGCGATGCTCAATGTCTTTTCCCCCAGGTGGCTAACTTGCTTGCAGTTGCTTATTTCGCATTCACGCAGACCCTCCTTGATATCTGCCTATTCCGGGTGTTTTTCCGCTGAAGCTTTCAATTATATTCCTTGATCTAGAACAAACGCCATTCGTCTAGACCGAATGCACACTTAGGCTCTTCCTACCTAAGTGATCTGTTGAGTAACTCGGATGAAGGCTCTGTTCTAGCTCGTTGAGGCACCAGCTCTGCCCCTTTCACCATAGATGATATGAGCGTTGTTGGGGAGACCAGCAAGTGCTTCGTCATAGTGCTCAATGGCTTGCTAAACTCTACATTGCGCAGCTGCGGCCATATGCGTGCGTATTATTTGGTCATGCACGAGATTACTCGAACTGTGTCATGCTGCACGCGTCCAACACAGAAGTCAGGGAACATGATGATACGACGCAAATCCTATTGGAAATGGTACGCAACTGCCGTAGCCTTGCCAATGCTTGCATTCTGCCACCGATCGGTAAACTTGGTTCTTGGGGGCTGCTCTAAGAAGTGGACAGGGTAAATTGCAGGTGTACGCTCACCTCAAATGACAATCCTACTTCAAACTCAGTCTCAAGTAATGCTGGGAATCCTTTAAACTTGATTTCGACTTTTATCAGCGCAGAGCTTACTGGAATTGGGTGTTTATCTGCGGGCTTGTAATCTGTAGCTCCCGTCACTACGCGGCAGCCTGCGGGGGAGCTTGCCTTTCCTTTGATGAGCTTTCTAGGCTCGCCAAGCAGCTTGCTTCCGCCACGCTAAAATTTTTTGTTCAAGTGTTTGCGCTTTGTGCAAGCACTTTCAGTTCCAGATAAGATGACCCAGCTTCCCGCAATAGAAGCAAGTGCGCTGTGGGGGCTGTGTTTCTGCACAAGAGCTAAGGTTCCTTCTGGAAATCTTTTCGGGCTCACATCAGACTCAGGGCTACGCTGATTTACACAGCCCCGCCACCCATAGGTTGAATTCTAACCTCGTATCCTTTTTTCAGCCATAGGTGATGCATGCGTGCCTATTTGCTCTTGGAACCTCAAGTAGTCGATTACTTTTAGAGGCCCCACAAGTCGCTTAGAAAACTGCGTCGCCGCTGTCCAAAGTGCGACCACCGGACGTGGCACCTCGGGACAACCACTGAAAAGCAACTGCTCGTCTACTTTGCGGCATTTGCAAACCAAAGTTTCACATTTTTCGATGCATCGACTTTCTACTTTTCTCAGGTTGCGGCTACGCTGATCTCTGCATATACTGATGATTCAGAGTGTATTTCAAGGCTTGAAGCGTAGTAACCCCTGCAGGTAGACGACCATGTCTGCATGAGTAGACGCATTATTAAGTACGTGCCCCCATAATACATATGCCGCAAGGAGCACTCGTTTCTCTGCATGTGTCGGATACCAAGCAGGGTACATCCCCAACCAGTTGATATAATCTCGAGTAGGTACTTTTTACAGCCGCCATACTTTTCTGGTCTGCAAAGCCTCATCAATCCAGCTATACACATTTGATCGGCTGACAAAACAAGCCTTTCTACAAGCTGTGAAGCCACTGCGCTTACATCAGCTTGCAGGTCAGCCTCTGCCGCGCCAATTTGCTTTAGACCACGATCAGCTTCACCGCCCAGAGTGATTTACTCCCAACTTGTTAGCAAAAGATCGAAATAATGGATTCTCACACGAGCTTGTTAAAACCAGATGACTGTATTAGGGAAACCTGAGATGCCACTGCATGTACAGCCCGTGGATCTGCGTGGAACTGCTGCATTGAGTGATGCAGGGCTACCAACTGTAACACCCAATCTGAGGACCTCGCAGAATCAATCGTAGCTCAATCTTCAACAAAATTAATAGAAACGTTTTGTGTTTTAAAACGACCTCGCTCTTGCCTCCCTGCGGGCGCCCCGTGAAGTTCGCACCATAAAGGGAGGGAGGTCTAGGGAGCGCGTTGCAATCCAAGCAGCTACAGCTAGTTGGAACAAAGCATCTACTGCGTATGCACATAATATTGCGCCTCTTTCCCATGGAACTAAAAGTACTCTGCAAAAACCAAGGTATATGGACAGATAATCCAATTGGTCATTTCTGTGCTAGTTCCCAATAAATAGAGATACTGTAGTAAAAGCCACCCATTTGTAGCTTAGCCTGCTGGATGTGCTGCCATCTTCAACTACTGAAAGCCACTTGAATGTGGATGCTAGATGCTATCAAACCACCAAATGTAAAGAGGTAGTTACGCGCGCAGCTATCTGCAGATGGCCAACTGCGAGAATAAGGAAATAGATAGCCACCACTAGCAACTCTCTATGTGGCGGAAATCCGCTGCAGTATTACTATGGCACTACTTTCACTTGTGCAAGGGCAGGCGCACTGGCTTTATAACTGGCTGACTGGGCCCCTAGTTCAACAAGCATCCTACTGCTAAAAAACTCATTGGGGCTTCACGAAGAAGATTAAAGAGGAAGAACCAGAGACTGCATTCTTCTGCGTTTCCGCGATATTTTCTGCTTTGCCATGCGTTATGCTTGCCACTCTTTTAGAACTAAAGATTCATCAAGACGTGGACCATCCCGAAGCACACTTGCTGAAGGTGATGGTGAAGATTCACACGGTGCTCTTTTACAAAAGGGGGCTGTTATAGTTTCAAGTAGCCACCACTGTCATTCTACGACGATAAGCAATAGAGACAGGCAAAGGCGAGAGCTGTAGCAAACAGAAATCCCCCCGCAGGATTCACTGTCAAAGATTATGATGCAGACTCATACGGATACAACAAAATTAGTATATTTATAAAGGGTGTGTGAGGGGAGAAGGCTTAGAACCGAACAAGCCAAAAGATCCGAAGGGTGAGACAGAGAGTTACCACATTTTGAAGTACTTCACTGGTACTATTGTATTGATAGATGAGAAGCGCCAGCAGACGCACAATTCCTTTTCCACAGTAGACCAAGATACATTGTTTTTGTCGGCAGAGCAGACCTTATACCCCAGGCACTAGTACTTGCGCACCATAGGATAGCCTACGGTGATCCTACCAGCGCGTTGGTGGTGAGCTCACACCTACTTTACCGTTTGCAGCTACGCCACAAGTGCTCGGTCTGCTCTACCTTTCTCTGACCATTTGTCATTGACTGTGCATCGTGAACAGCCCTGGTGCATCCATACCCTTGCTGTTGGCCTGATTTTCCTTTTCGCCAGTCAACTTCTTACCGTGCGCCTCCAATTCCGTTGCGCTCTTCTATTGAGCGCCTCTACTAAAATCTTCTGCCTGTCCGTATATCCTGTCGTGCCTTCCTGTCTCATAATGCTATGCTATCTACATTCTCCTGTCTTGGTGGATACCCATGCGTGTTCCCTTGCGTGTATCCCAGTGTGACCGTCAGTGCCCACTTATTGTCCGATTTCCAGTTCGTTGCGCTTTCCCGGCAGACGCGAATGTATTATATCTACTGAGGACCAATTGCTTCAAGAGTTCATGAGCCATTGTTTCCATAGCTCAATTTTTATGGGACTGGCTGGTTACGGTAAAACATTTAAACGTTGCATTCAGGATTTGACCTGCTTAGCCAGGTGTAAAGAGAATAACAAATATCATGGCCATGGTGATCATTAGGGCGATGGCCAGTTGCACTAGAGGCATGAGGGAGGAGAAGAAGGAGAAGCGCAACAGTTTTTTAGCTGCCTCAACGCCTTTTATTTGCTGCTGCTGCATTGTGTCTTGTGTAGCCGACGTGCGCTCCAGCATACGATTGTCCTTTTGCAGTGTTTCTCTAAATCTTAGGGCTCCCTGCTTCATCTCTGTAGCCGCTCCCAAGAGGTCTTCCTCAATAAGGGCGCTTTCATCGTACACTGCTGTGGGTACCATTGCGCCACTGCTGCCGCCATTGCCAATGTGCTGCAGCAACAACTGGCGTTCTTCGTGCTCTTGTTTTGCACCCTGCTGGCGTTGCTCTATTGCCGAGAGCAGCTGGTGGTGCGTTGGTGGCATTGATTCTTTAGCTGCTGCAGAAGTTTCTAGTTGCATTGAGGCAGCCATTTCATCGTCGCTTGGCGCCTCCTGAGCCCACACTTCAATGTCGGCTAGCACCCAGTCGACCAATTCCAGAAGTACTTTCTGATGCTGCTGCCTCTGGTGCCAGTAAACATATTTCCGTCGAAGCTGGAGCAGCGGCCTCTGGAGGCTCTCGCAGCGCTTACCGTTGCGGTAATGGTATTCCAAGTCCTGCATAATGGCCTCTATCGATGCAGCTGAAGTCGCTGCAGCTGACGCCTCTTGCGTATCCTGTTGCTGCTGATTTAGCTGTTGACGGAGCTCCAAGGCTGTCCGCAGGTTCTGAAGCGCACGTGTTAGTTGAGGTCAGGCCCTTAAAGAAGAACGCATTGGAGGGGTATCATTAGGAAGACCACCGTATCGAACGCATCGGAATGAGAAGACCCATTTGCAGGAGCAGGAGTGCAGGAGTAAACAGCAAAGCACGGAAAGCAATCTGGCGAAAGCCACGTCATTACAAGCGTCGGAATCAGAATAAGCATATGCAGGAGTAGGAGTCAAAGAAAAATCAGCAACCGACCTGCAGCAGACACGCCCAAGAAGCCTCTGCGTGGCCACAGTAGCCCGGAGACATTCCATCTTTGCTGCTGCCACTTTCCCCAGTAGCACCAGGTCCTTCACAACAATCATGCACCTGCAGTTGCTGAAGCTTCAGCTGCTGGAGCTGCTGGCGCGAATGCTGTAGCAGCTGCAGTAGCTCAGCCTCCAACATTACACCGCAAGGTTCGTCCTGCAGCAGGAACCCCCGCTGCTCGTTCTGGTCAGGCTGTTGCCGGCAAAGAGACAGAACCCCCTGCAATGGCTCTGTTGGCATTCAAACCACTCTGCTAACGCCTGCTATGGCAACATGGGGTCTCGAAGACAAGGCTCCTTAGAAAAGCGGTACGCTGCGGCTACTGCTGCTAAAGATGGGGTCTCTACGTTTAAGTAATGTCTCAGGCTAGCCTTTGGTGGCTATGATGTGGAATCGACGTAAAGGGACATGGGATGCAGCAGCAGCAAGCTACCAGTGCCAGCAACTGCATGGCGGAGCTGCCGCTGCCGACGGGTCCGGGCAAGAATAGCAAGACCATGAGTGGTATCAGTCTGTCCAAAAGCCAATTCGTCAACGTTCCTCTACGTCATTTTGGCTTTTTTGGCTGCAGCAGACAACTGTAGAAGGCTTTCTGTACCAGCAACACCAGCTACTCGTATGTGGCAGGAGCTGCAGCAAACAGCGCCACATGCTTTCTTATCGCCAAGGCGGCCGAAGAAGCAAGTGGATGAGCTGGCAAGAGAGCTGCATAACACGCGCAAGTGTGTGCTATGCTGCATGCAATTGTACATCCTGCAAGAGCGATAAGGACAGCAGAGAACACTTCAGTGTCGGCTGTGCCCTCCTGGCCTGTTATTGCAGTCGTGCCAACCCCGTTTCGCAGCAGCGCACGAGGCATCTCCATCGACGCCATTTTAGGGAGAAGCAAATTTCAGCAGCATCAGTTTGCTTACAGCATGGCACAGCAGCAGCAAAACAGGCTGGCAGCTCCACCAGAAGAAGCAAGTGCGGCAGCAGCAGCAGCAGCAAGTGTCTGGTGTTTCTTCGAGGATGAAGCTACAATGAGAAACGACGAGAGCAGCAGCAGCAATGACCGCAACATAGTGTATGGAGAGGGAATCCCCGCTGCAGAAGCAAACGCCGCAGCAGAGGAAGCAGCAGCGGCGGTAGAAGCAGCAGTAATGGCAGACGGGGCAGCGACGGCAGAAGCAGCAGCAGCAGTAGAAGCACTAGCATCGGAGCAGACATTTCTGCGAAGACCAAAGATTGCAACTGTTCCGCCACAGCAAGGCGCAAGGGGCAGTTTCAATGGCAGCTCCTGTAATAGCAGCACAACGGCAACAAGCAAGGACACCAGTCCACTTGGACCGAGGGGGGATGCCGACGGGTTCGCTCAGGCAAGCAGGACGAACAGCAGCAGTAGCAGTTCCAGCACATCCAACCGCGAAAATTCCAGCAGCAGCATCAGTGGTAGCAGCAAGCAGGGCTTCGACTCTGGCCTCGAAGTGTCAGGGAGTGCAGCAGGGCATGTACAAGGTGAAGAGCTCGACATCAATACCAACGCTTCTACTACAGCAATTGCCGCTACCACTCCAGCGGCAGGTGCTACAGCAGCTGCTGCAGTCGTTGCAGCAGCTGTTGCAGCAGCTGAGGGGGCACTACCAGTGGGCAGTACCAACAGCCCCCGTAGCGTTGGCATGGGAACCTCAACCACCATCGGCACTCCCAACGTTGCGACCGCTACTAGCGTAGCCCATTATCAAACCTCAACCACCCCTGATGCCGTCCACGTGGCGCACAAGGTAGTAACGGCGCAACAGGGGAATGAAGGCGGGCCTTTCGATGGTGCAGCTCCTGCTGCAGGACTAGGAATACCTCATGCAGATGTAGAGGCAGCAGCAGGAGATGAAGCCACGGAGTCATCATCTGAAGGAACCACCGAGGCAACAGTAGTGGCAGGCATCCGCAAGCTGGCAGAGACCAGGCTAGGCTATGCCTCGGACATCGGGGGTCAACTACAGCAAACTGCACAGCAAATGGCAGCCAAGAAACACCCTGAAGAAGGCAAATACACACGGCACAGCTCGGCTACTTCACCCAAGGCAGTATTCACAGGTTCCCTGAGAGTGGAGGTTTACAGACATGTGGCTTTAGGTTCAACGATCATAGTTTGGGTACTGCAGAAAAAGGACTGTCACATCTTCCCTAGTTTTCCGCGAAGATTTTGCCCTTTGGATCAAGGGTTCGTCGCTTGTGTGCTGCAGATGCCAGCAGCGCCAACTGGTATCTCCACAAGAGACACACATTCATTTTCTCATATTCGGGCAAGCCCGTTTACTCCCGGTAACCCTAGACCCTCACTTACATGTTGGCTTTCGAACTCGTCCAGATTTTTTGCCTGTCTCTCCCAGAGGACGTAGTCAATCCTAGCATCACCACTTGCAGCAGCTGTAGTCACAGTGTCAAACGCAGTTCCGTCATGCAACTCACCAACAACTTCGTTGTGCCTTTCGTTTTAGCTACGGCAAGGAAGAGAACCTTGGCTCCTTTGCGGGTGCGTTTCCGTGGCTTCAACCCGCGAACCGTACACTCTAGCCATGACATTCAAAGCCTAATACCGTTTCCTGAATAAATTCGCATTTGAGATGTCAGCCAAATACTGTACGATGCCCAGCTTGAACGTTCTTTGACCTTTTCGGCCTTATGACTTTGGGTCTGATGTGTAACGTTTTGTGTTCAGGGGCGCTGTCAGCAATCGTTTCAAAGCTGGAAAGGTTTCGTGGCGACAAGCCACCAGATGTTGTTCGGTGAGGGCTTGAATTTTACAGGATTTGTGATTTGTTGGTGCCGTGGCGTTTAGACTTTCATTTTAGCCTCTAGAAGATTACCGTAGAATCGGTTTGGTGTGAAAGCATTCCTCGCATTATGGTCTCGCAAAAAGTGATCGGAGGGTTTGTGATGAGCGGTATGCTGCAGGCATTTCCGTTTCTGCGGCGGTCGCTTTGTATTCCTTTGTCGAGGCCCCTTCTATCTGGTCATCTTCGATCGACAGAACTTGAATAACAACACTGCTAGAGCGTATCTCATGCTGCTACACAGACAGGTCCTGTTCGTAGAACAGATCCACCCCACGCGCTGTTGCTGATAATGCTTCACATTAACCTAGTCGAATTCTTCCGCGGTGGTAGCACTTGCTTTTGTATCCGGAGTATAGCAAAGACGCCATTGGAGATGCCCAGTTTTGTTCCTTTGTTGTTGCTTTGACCTGGTGCAGCTGCTGTGTATTCTGACAAAGGAGGTAGAGCGCACCCTTCTCATTCGTCCGAGCTTTGACGTCCGGCCGCTTATGGGTGGTGCGACTACAGCTGCTGTATTCGCTATTGCTACCAGTGCTCCTGTTCCTGGGAGTATTTCTGTTAGGGCTCTCGCGGCAGTTGCTTCAAGTAGTGCCTCTTCTGCGGCTGGTGCTTGTGGCATGCTGCTGAGAAGCATCTTCATTCTGCGTGCCTTGTTTTCTACTGGGGATGCAGGCACGGACGGGATATTTCGCGGGCTTCACCATATGTACTTTCATTCCATGCTCTCCGTCCTGCTGCCCATGTTGATGCAAAAGAACTGCGCTGCCGTGGACGCATCTGGGGCAACAGCCGCACCCGCAGCTGCGACTGCAGAGCAGCTACAACAGCAGCAACTGCTGCAGGAGCAGCAGTCCGCTGCTCTGGCGATAAGCGGAGCATTCGAGCCGCTGCCCCTCAGCAGCACGATGAGGCATATTGCATGCACCGCAGTCAAGAACAGCCCCACCCCCAATGTCCTGTGAGCTATCCCTGTCTTTCTTCCTGCTTCTCGCCCTTCCTGGCCTTTCCTTCCGCCTGCGAGTGTGCTTACCTGAACATTGTGGCCCTTTCCATCTTCTCTCCATCCCCTTCCTCAACGAGAAAACTGTGTGCTTGCACGTCATTTTGACCCTCTATTTAACGCTTTTACCTTTTCTTTCGTCAATCGCTTCGTCTCACTTTGCATGGGTCACCCTCTCCATGGCTCTTTGTGCATCTTCCTGGCCGTGAGTGTGTCAGGCCCTCGGTTCCCATTCTTCCTCCCAGCCCTTCCTCTACTGCCCATCTCGCCTGCCCACCTCCCTCTCAGCACCAGTTTTTCCTCTGACCTTGTGCTTAACTCACTGCCTAACTCCCTCTGCTTTCGCTCTGGATAGTGCTCAAGGACCTCACCATTGTGCTCGAGGGTTTGTGTTTAGTGCCACCATGCTGCTTGCGGAGCAGCGCGTTGTTGCACTCTCCTATGCAAAGGGATACGAACTTAGCCCGACGGGTAGGCTTCACAGCAAGACTCTGGTCGTGTGACTTTCTGTTGCTCCAAACGCAGCCCAGGATCGCAGATACACCTTAAATCTCCTGCTTAAATGTGGTTTAGGACTTACGTGGTAGGGTGCAGGCTTATTTAATTAGCGGAGAGCTGTCGACGGTGGCTAGCTAGCTACACCTAGCCAGTGAGGGCACCGTCCAGGGCAGAGGCTGTGTGTCCTGTACTCGTAGATGTCTGCTTGTTGACGAACTTCGTAAACTCTTCTTTAGCCCTCCGGCAGCTGGAAAGCTGGACGCCGCTATGCATTCCCACCATTAATGACAGGCAAGGCATACCCTCTATTGATTTGCTCGTCTCCTAGCATCCTTCCTCTTCCTCTCTGTTCGCCTTTCCTATGTACGTGTGTGGGTGGTGGAGAGCTCGGTGTACAAACATTTCCGTCTTTTTACTAATCTCCTGCTCAGCCAGCCTCGCCGCTTTCTTGGTTTCTTATGATTTATCCCAGGCCTGTTTTTCTTATTTTGCGCGCAATCATCTATCAGGGCCTTTCTGCATGCCTACATCCGCTTCCTGACACCCCGTGTCGCATTCGTCTCCATTTCCTCCCCCGCCGACTCCATCAGGTTCCACGAACTCGCCAGCCACTGCAACAAACTCTTCGCGGTGCGATCCATTATTGGGTTTAAGGTTCACAGGGAATCAGGAATCACAGCTAAATTCCAAAATTTGGGATTTAGGCCTGCGAATGAGCGTTTAGCTATCTCTATGCTAGCTGACGGCTTGTTGCCAAGAGGAATGGAAATCAAGTGGCTGCTCCTTGGGGCCTTTGTGTACGGTTTCTGGTTTGAGGCTGATGCTGCTTCACAGATGCTAACGAACACTGGCTGCCTCGCGGCGATCGAAACTTCTCTTGAATACGCTCCATATGCACTGCGTAAGCGCCATGCCCTGTATCCTGAGCCCTCGCTGTCACACTGCTTGACTAACTAGTGTTACCGAGTATAGGGATGTGACTTCCTGATCGTTCTACTGGCTACCGTGGCCTTGCTCCTCTAGCTGTGCATGGTAGTTGCTCAGGGGCTAAGGCTTAGACATAAGATTTGTGGCTTGTCTTCTGTGCAGCTCGTTGTCTGTGGGGGGAGGTAGGGCTGCTGCATTGCTCACTATATGTGCCGTCTCTCCGGCAGTTCTTTGCCTCTGCTTTTGGTGACGCATACGCAGCAGATTCAGCCAAACAGCAGCGGTACGCTAGTTTTGTGTGCTAAGCCCAAGCCTTAAGGCTCCTCCCCAAATGTAATCCACTGCGATAAAATCCCATACGGGACCCCTAACATTCCTGAAGGCAAAAACCCTTTTCTTGCATTGGGCATTATTCCTACACACATCGTAAGGGAATTCACGTGTATCCTCATGCCCCAAGTTTTGCTGGGTGTGGAGCTTGATGTATTCGGGGGTGGAAGTTGTGCTGCAGTGTCTACTCCCTGTACACGAGCGCGGCGGAGATGGTTCAGTGTGCAAAACGCCCAGCCCACTCCTACATCGAAACAACAGTAAGTGTTTCGGGTTCCTTCCTCGTTTAGGGTTTGACACAAGGAGGAATCAATGTGCAAATTCATGTGCTTCCCGAGCTTCACGAAAGCTTTGTTGGTTTCATATACGATATTGCAGTTTCGGTCTAGAGTTCTGTTTGCAGGATGAGAAGGTGTATGTGTGGCTGGCGGCGGATTTCTTCTTCTTCTGCTGTGTCCCCCGATGGATAGGTACGCGAAAGGAGGGCTGGTGCAGAAAAACTGTTTCTGCCGCCTCAGCAAATGCGACAGCTATTTCCGGATCAGTCGTAAAGCCTTCGCCCTCTACTCACAGCCGTTTTGTGTGCGGGAATGTCGGGTTCAATTTTCTTGCTCAGATATGGCAACTGCGTTGGTGGAACAGCTCGCCAAATGGATTCGGGAGCAACAGCCATTCCTCTTCATAACTAACATTCCCCCCCTCGTCCATACACCGGTCCCGAAATAAAGCAGCTGCGGACGAGTGTCCTTGCTGCAAGCGCTTTGGATTCGTAGCTAGCTGCATCAAAGTGAGCAGTTACCAGAACCGCTAAAGTGCGCAGTTCTCAAATATCGTGCTTTGCAAATTACATCAGAGGTCGTAGTGGCAGCAGACCAGAGTGCCAGTGCTGCTCCTGAGCCCTTTCCGTGTCCTCTCACTCTGATGTACAGCTGTTTCTGCAGCAGCTACCTCTGCTGCTATGGCGTTTCGGCAGATTTGCTCAACATGCGCGTCATTGTATACTTCTGGTGGGAAGTTAGGGGCTGAGTGGTACTCAACCCGGCGCTTACAGCGTAGGTCTTTGGTTTCAGACAGACATTGTCTTGTTTTTTCAGTTTCAGTTACCTTCCTAGTGTGTGGTGCTCCCATTAGCAAAAATCTCATAATTTATCATTGTGTTTGCAAACAAGTGCAGCACCAGCAATGGCGTAAATCACATAAGCCGCAGCAGCTGAGATCGGAGGGTCAGCTGTGAAGCGTCATGTGTGTCTTCGTGGTATGCAAAAAAAGGCATACGGCAAGTGCGGTGGTTTAGGCCCTAGAATTAAAGGCCACTAGTACAATGATGACAACTGCAGTCAAATCCAAAGGCCTTAAGCCTCTGTCTCCTTTCCTCCCTTTCCATCCCCCTCACCCCTTCAAGATAGGAAACGCATAGCTCTTCCCCGCATCCAACACCCCGAATTAGACGTAGCCGTAAACAGCCCCTAGCCCCCACTTCAATCCTCATATTAGGATTGCAGCAGTGATTAATGCGAGCCATAGAGCAGTAAAAGGCAGTGCCCTTCATGGGGGGAAATGCCCGTCCGGTATTTTGAGGGGACTTCGGAAGGTCGCCCTCAGTGGGCACCATGGGGTCTTCAAGGGGAGGAGCGAGCTCAGGCAGTGGTTTGCTTGCGTAGTAATTCCTAATTGCGTGCAACGACGGAACCCCTTCTCCCGGCCCGCGAAAATCTGTGTCCTCCCCCTCATTTCTGTCTGAGGAGCCGAAGAGCAAAAAAAGAACTGCTTCCTTCTCAGCTAGTAGGTGCCTTAGCGCCTCTGACCCGCCCGACATGGGGTTGAGGAGACAGCGTGAGACGAAGGCATTTAGTGGGTTCGCTTGATGCAAGTCTGTGTTACAATGCTCAAAGACGGAGAGTAACCGGGATACCAATGATGCGGAGACGAGATGATTATAAACCTCTGACTTCTCCCGCAGCCCCAACAACAACAGCTCAGTACCTCTCGTCACTATTTCCCGTCTGTCAAGCTCATTCTCCTCCTCTGCCTCACTATCCGTCCCAGGAGACTCATCCTCTGTTCTCTCTGTCTCTTCCCACAACCCGTGCTCGTGTTGCAGGAGCAGAGACAGCAGCTGTTTCGCAGCTGCCGTCGTTGCTTCTCCACTTCCCCCAACCACACTCGCTGCTGCTGTCGCCGCGGCTGCAATTGCTGCTGCAACAAGAAGAAGGTTTTCACAGTGCTCAATAGCAAATCGCTTAAAAGCAACGAGGGGGGCGCCCTCATCCAGTGGGCCCACGCATAACTGCTGATGTACTGTGTCTCTTTGTAGACATCCAGAGGAGCAGAAGGCCTCCCCACAACCCCCCGGGCAAGGAACAATTTCCTGCGGCTGATGTTCCGGCATTAGGTGATCTACGTTTATGTTCAGAGCCTTCAGGTGCTGGGCAGACTCCGGGGATGCTGAGAAAAAATGGGATAACTGGAAGAGTGGGCCCCCTAGGGGTTCCCCACAGCAGCAGCACGCTTTAACTAAGCACTTGTTTACGGTGTGCTGCAGAGAAAGCAAAGGCGCCTCCTCATAAACCATAAATCCTTCAGGAAGAGATCTCAGTGCAACAAACCCTAGACCCCTATTTATTCCCGCAGGACCCCTTACAGGCGCCACAGCGAACGCCCGACCCTGCTGCTTGAGTTCCTGCAGTTGCTGCTCATTATAAACTGGCTGCAGAAGCTGCTGCTGCAGTAAAGCAGCAAACTGAGGCTGCTGCCACTGCTTATGGGTCAATTCCATCACTTCCACTAACGGAAACACCCGGTACGACCTGCGGGACAATAGATAAGGCGATGAGGTTTTTAAAGTGCAAGCAACAGCTTATGCTCAAAATACCGTAGGCTTGAGCGCAGTGACTGCAGCTCGTACTTCGATGCCCACTACGTATGATTTTTGTGATATGGCCGTGCTCCTGCTGGTGGGGCCTCATGCGGCGGGGCCCCAGCTGGAGGCCCTGCTAGTCGGCCATACCCTATCCACACACAGCCTATGAGCCGCTTTGTTGAAGCACAACGGGCAATCTGTAGACCCCAAGCCATGCTGGTTTGTGTTTACTACCAACCTTCCGCCCAATCCCAAAACATTGTTATGCTGTTTGGTGTATTTCCCAGGCGGTTCCCGAAGCAGGAAGGCCAAAAGCCTCCGTGCCTTTTCTCCGAGCCTTAAAGTAGAGAACGCGGGCACTTGAATGGCCGATTATTAGTAAAACAGTCCCCAGAGCTCAATGCTTCCGAGTCCAAGAGGTCACTTCGACGGGCCGCTATTGCCCCGGCGCTGGAGAGCTGTACAGTGGTTCTCTGCAAGCTCTTAAAGGCTTGTATGTTCGAGTTTTGGCTCTTGAGAGTATAATTCTGGCTTTAGTGTCTAGGGATACAGATTTCTACACAGTCGTACCTTCGCCTGTTTATGCCTTTCGGTATTCTCTTCTGGGAGAGTGCCGTAACCGCACATGTCTTCCAGGCCTCTTGCCACCTGCTGCCAGCGGCAGTCCACCAGGGCGACTGGAAGCGGATGATGCAAATCCTGTAGCTGGTGGAGCCCCCAGGATGGATCTAGAGTCAGGGAAACTGTCTTTTTGGCATTTATTTGGACAATGTATTCCCTGTCCCCCTTCCGTTATAAATTCTACTACTTCCTGAGGCCCCAAGACCGAGAATGGTGCCGTCTTGACATTATCTATGGTGAACTTTGTGCCTGTCGCATTCCAAGTATCCGGGGCTACCGAAAAGCGCTCTCCATTTCTAGATGACTTTCCACGGCCTGCACGGGCCCGAGCTGCCCGCACAAAGAACCGCGGGGCGCAAACACCCCGTATGATCCAAGCCTCTAGCCAGGATGCGCACTTAGTACCTCATGAGGGCTTAGAGAATTTAGTATCGGCAGTGCCCTTACTTCTGCAGCAACATTGGCAATAAAGCGCATCTTGAGATACTCCGGTGTAACTGCTAAATTCCAAACCTACCGGATTTCCGGCCGTCCTCTTGTAGGACCTCGAATACGGCCTCTACATGCTCGCAGAACACTCTCAGACGTGAAAGTTGTTGCTGCGCTACTAAGTACTGCAGCTCCTGCTGCTGTTGCCGGTGGGTTGAGGGGCTCTCTGCCGGCGCTGACCTTGCTGCCACTGCTACTTTTTCCAGACCCTTGAAGTAGCAACGAGAGGCAAAACGGCTGCTTGCATATTTCTGAACAAACAAGAAACCATAAGACATGTACCTTTAACCTGAGCTCACCCGCAAATCAAGGTGCACTCTCAGTGAGTCATAACTACCTGCGTCCCTGATGGTACAATTCGCATATACCACGATAGCTTATGCTTTACAGCCTTTTGTTCACTTGAAACAAGCAGTGAGTCTTTTGACAGATCAGCCCCAAGGTAGCAGCTGCCTCCCTGTGCTTGTTGTCAACTGTTTCTGCTGCCGCCTCGAGGCTCTCAGCCGCCGCTTCTGCCTCCTCCAGCTCCTGCCGGATCTTGCCTGTAAAGTGCAGGCTAAAATCTTGAAGGTTGGAGTGTTAAATTTGAATCGCTGAGCCTAGGCCTATGCGCAGAGTGTTTCATTTATCCACATCGGTGTGTTGAGTGTGACGAATAGTTTTACAGCATAGCCTTTTAGGGTTTACTCATTGTGGCTAGATAAGCTCCTTCTGCTTGCTTTGCTGTTTCTTTAAATCTCAGAAATGCTGATTGGCCCTCTTCGATACGCCCTGAGCACCCAAAATTCGCTTGCCTAAATTAAACTTCACGCACCTAAACCGTACTAACCAAACCCTGATATTTAAAACCCTTATCTGACAAGCAAGAATCTCTTTAATATGATGATAGAGAGTTGCTAGCAATTTCCACTAGAAGCGCTCGTAATTTGTAATTTGTACAGGCTGGCTTATGGCTATCGCTGGCAGGCACTTTTCAGATTCTGTAATCTGGGATTTACTGCTGATTTCGTTCGTCTGCTTTTGCAGCTCATTCTTAGTCGCCTTCAGAGATTGCAGCTGCTTTAGCAGGGCCATCGGGTTCCCATATGCACCCGAGATCTTTATCATGCACAGCCTAAATCACAAAACCCAAATACCCCGCTGTGCATCCCGGCTTTCATACCAGTACCTCCAAAGCCATTGCTTGTACTGCATGTTCGTGATCTGTACCAGAGCACCTCGACCCTTTTCCAAGGCAGTGGAGGCATACCCTACATCCAAAAACCTATACAAAACCCCATGCCTTACTTGTAAGGCAAGAGTTCTTCCGCTTTCTTTTTTAGCTCTTGTTCGGTTGCAAGTGCTGCTTCTGCTGCTTGATGTAGCTTATCGCCCTTCCATGCAGCGGCAGCAGCGCGGAGCGTGTAGATCCCAAGGCTTCTGCTACTAGCGCCGGTGTTTATTACATTGCGGTGCAGCCGCCACCCGTTTATCGTCACGTGCTGCGACAAGAACAATCGGAGCAATGGCAGGAGTGGTAGCAGCAGGCAGGGACAGCACCCTCTAGCATTGGTAGCGTCTACATGTGCCGATTTATGGCTTAGGACTAAACGGAGTAAGGTTCACGATCTAGTGTATGCTTACATTTTTGAAGGCGTCTCGTGCTTGAGCAATGAGGGCACATCTTACTGCTGCGGCCTCCGCAGTTGCGGTGAAGTGCAGCAAACTGTCTGCCTTAGAGGCTGCAAGCTCCTGCAGCTGTTGCCGCCGTGCAAACACCAGGGAATGCGGTGCTGCTGCAGCCCAATAAGAGCAGAGTACCAGAACTAGCAGCAATTCAAACCAGAATTCAGCCTTAAATCATGGATTAGGAATGGAAGTCGCATGCACTGACTGCATTGGGGTGAAGCATAATAATACTCGAAGGAAGTTGTGCAGCACGCCCTGTTACTGCTGCTGCCGCGAACGGCTATCCGCAGCAGTGCTTACTCCTGTTTACAGTAGACGATTTAGGAGTTAGAGCATTACTTTTGGATAATTCCAGCAGCTGGCGGAAGCCTTCAATTTGCATGTCTAGCAGACGCACATGCTGCTGATCTCGTTGCTGCTTCTTCTGCTTTTTCTTCCGCTTCTGGAAGTTTTTGCTGCTGCTGTAGCGCCTACTGTTGCTTGCGCGAGCTATTGTGTGGGTCAGGTCTTTTAAAATACTCCGAGGGTTATCAGTGCTAGATGAAACTGTTGAGCTTGAAGCAACGGCAACTGGTGATACTGCAGTCGTTCCAGCACCCTGGGGCTTCAAGGCGGGAGTTGGTGCTAAAATTTTGCGATGGATGTTCGCATCGTTCACAGGACTAATGTTATTGCTGCCGCTTGCTGCACCATTAGGGAGTCCAAAGCCAACAGCATCTGCACAGGCAGTTAGAAAGGTACCACATCCATACCCCATCTGTTTTGGCTGCTGGTGATTGAACTGCGTTTGCTTCCACTGATGCTGCGATTGCTCGGTTAGCAGGTCTTCCTGCTGCTTCAATATCGCCGAAATCTTCTGCTCATGTTCATGCATCATATCCGAATGGGTATGCGGTTGCGCCTCAAGTATCTCCTGTGGCTGGTGTCGGTGCTGCTGCAGTTTCATGTGCAGTCGCCTTGGTGTTGAGGAACGAGGGCGCTTGCTACTATAGAAGCATTTCTGCTTCGGCGACGGCTGTTGAAGGTGATGGTAGTGCTCCAACAGTGGGTTTTGCTGCTCCTGGGGGCAAATATGCGCCTGCAGCTGCTGCAAGAGTTGACGCCGCTTCTGTTGGCGCAGCTCTTCTGGGTGTTGCAGTGGGCCCATTACAGGAGCGGTGATTCTGCTGCGAGTTGTGGGTGCCTTGATGCGCTGTTCTCGCTGGCGCCTCTGCATGAGAAGCCGCTCGCCTGCTGCAATGCTGTCAAGACGGTGCAGCAACTGCTTCTGTTTCTCTTTCACTATCTGTGTTGCTGCAGCAAGAGCCTCACAAGGCGGTTCCATTGAAGTGGAGATTCTTCTTTGGTGCGTCGATCGGGGAGAGTGGCCACCTGATCCTGCGCCCACTATTGTCGCTGCTTTGGCTGCTGCAGAAGACTCTAACATAAGAGCGTGAACGCAGTCGGAAGACTTTCTTTGCTGCTGATTCCATCTTCTGAAGCAGCTGGCCCTGGCTTCGCCTGCTGCTTCCACTCTTGCACCAGTTTGCGGTACTGCTGCTACAGAGCCTTCCAGCTCGGAGGGTGCTTTTGACAACGCTGCAGCGTCTAGAGTCAGCAGCGAAGACGCCAGGTCCTTCAACTCCTTGGCTCTCGAAGACATCGTTTGCGAGCCTATTCTAGATCCGTTGCCGCGGAGCGAAGGGACGTTTGCAGTAGTAGAAAAGCCAGCGTAGGCAGCTGTGGAAGGTGAAACAAGAAGATTGCGTCTGCAGATGGGCAAATGCAACAAAGAACGCAGCGGGAAATTTGTTACCTACTGCTGAGTTGGCTACTATGTTTCGTGCTGCCATTGATGCTGCTCCATCCATCATTGTTCTTGCTGTTCTTTTATCCACTGCACTGAAAACGTTGTGAATAGTGGCTAGTTATTGCCTCAGGAGGGCGTGGTGGCCTCTTTCCTCGTGTAGTTAGGCCCTCTGTGCCTAGCCTCTTGCCTCTCATTCGATCTCCCATCGCCTTTCCTCTCTGTCATATCAGGTGGCTTCCCAGCAGCCACCGATGCTGCGGCTACTAGTGCCACTGTGTTCTTCTATTAGGGGACGCGTAGTTTTCGAAGCCCCGGGGATGCCGTGATATGTCTTGCAAGTGATTCGTAAAAACCTTTGGAAAAGGGGATTCAAGCTTATTGCACCCTTTGCTCTCCCCTTCGTTTCGTAGCCGAGAGTTTAAAGTTTACCATGAACGGATTAGGAATTAGATTCTCGAGCGTTTTACGCAGGGCGTAGGGCGTAATGGCTGCTCTACTTGCTCGGTCCACCACTGCGTGGCCCCATGTTTCCTCCACTCTGCGTAAACCCTAGCTTTAGCTCTACTCCAATACCATACGCCTCGATATCTTAGGTCAAACTTACTAAATCGTCCTTTTTTGTATCAATACCGTTGAATAGTACTTACGTCGTAGAATCCTGCTCCGCTTCGGAGTGTTTATTGTAGGAGTGGGGGTCAGGGCTAATTACTGATTCTGTGGGAGATTCCGAGCGCTTCCTTTCATTCCTACACTCAGCCTACAGTTTCACCTAGCCCTATAGCAATATAAACTGGGGAAACACAAAATAGAATCAACGCGAGCGTTTGGTGAGTCGGCTCTGGATGGCATCAGGGTCACCGCTGGACTGGGACATTCAATTATTTTCCTTTGAACGGAATCTACCCACTAATGCTGCAGAAATCAAGCATGGAAACTAAAAAGCAAACTGAATGAGCTGGTGCAATGGCTTCTGCAGAAGCTGCTGCCATTGCTAGTCACCATCGAGGTCAGATCGAACCTAGATCGAGCTGGCTCGCCACGGTCTCGGGTTGAAGGTCAATCACCTGTTTTCACCATAACGAACCGGTATTTATTTCACCTCTCACTATTTTTCTTCCTGAGGTCACCACATATGCTCACCCAAAGTATTTAATCAACCATCCTAAACCGCTATTCCTTGTGGCGGTCGGTCTGAGACATCATCGAGGTCGCGTATTTCTCCCTTCGTTTCGTGTTTACTATACCTTACCAGGGTTCAGGTGGCTAAGCCGTAGAAGTAACAATGGCACTGTTTCGTTTGGCCTTTCTTGCAGCCATAGCGGCATATGTCGCTAGCCATGCCTTGGGGAGGTCCGGGGGGTTAGGTCCTGCTGTTGTATCTGCCTTGCCTGAGGCCTTCAAGGAGGCGCGCACCTCAGAAGTGGGTATGCACTCGTTTGAAGAGGAAGGGAGGAAACATGGGAGAAGGAGAAAGGACCTCAAGCTGCCATCCAAGGCACCCCATGATGCCATCCAAGAAGAGGCCGAAGTTACTCCTGCATTGTCTCTCACAGAGGCAGTGCGGCGCAGACGCTCCAGACGTTTCCAGGAGAATCAACAGTAAGGATTAGAACAGGCTAGTGGCCTATGTGAGAAGAGGCATGGCCGGAGCAACACCAGGAACAACAATCTTCAAGTATGCTGCCAGACGCCTATACAGGGCACGCAGAGCGCATTAAGCAGAGCCAGATGCGGCAGAGACAAGCCTTACGGAGGCAGAGTGGAGGATGAAAGGGCAAAGGTCAGAGGAAACTACGAAGTCAAGCCTGGCAGGGATTGAAAGGAAACGCCGCCAACACTGGCCTTCACGCTCGGCAGCAAAGAAAAAAACAGCAAAAAATAGAGTTGAAGCGCTGAATTTAACGGGAGATAATAATGCATCATATGTGGGCAGGAGAGACCAACGTGCCGGGCAACCGACGTGCAGGGTGCTTGTTCTATGGTGGAAACGAGCCGCGGCCAGTGCTGTCGAAACGTTGAAGCCGTAAACGCTAAACTGAAAAGTGAAGAGCTTCAGCATTGTTGCTGTTTTGCGATGCTAGTGTATTTGTGAGAATCTAAGGTCAGAAACATAGACCCTTGTTTTTCTGATTGAGCACTACTAGCTGTAGCTCAAGCGGCTGCTTATATAGCCCGAGAAACTGATGGAGGGCTGCTTTTGCCTTAGGTACTAATGCACGTAATGTACATTTGATTCCAACCTCAGATTGGGGTCTTTCTGGCCTCAACCTATTTCACTGCATTGAATATCGCCCCCTCTGTCCCTGTGCTCGTCGTCCTTTCACTGCAAACGAGCGGCTACCCGGAAGGGCAGAGTAGTGTATCGGGATCGAGTTTCAGTGCTTTGGTTAGTTATGCATAATGCCGATTTCAGGCATGGAGTTACGGTTTTTCCAGGTGTGAAATTATTGTGAACGGGATAGACCGAGGTTCCGCGTGGCAGCCCATCACCGCAGCCGCAGTGTGGCATTAACAGCGCGTTCACGCATAGAAGTGATTAGTGGCAAGGGATTGCCCGAGGGGACAAAGTGCGATAAAGGGCCACGAGTAGTGTGCATACTAATATGGCAGCCAGTAGATGCAGTATACAAGCATCAGCAATTGCAGGAGCAGCAACAGCAGGATCACACATAGCACTGAAGCAACTTTGCGGCGGAGTAGAAATATTGGTACGAGGGAACATTAAAAGCAGCAGAATCGGTAACTACACACTCTCAAAAAGATCCCAAGTCCACTACCTGATCTCCAATTGCCTCTATCTATGTGTACTGTGCTAACAATCGTTCCTTGCGAGCCATCTAAGTTCGAAAGGGGAACTCGACACCTTTCCGGAAGCAACAGCGAGTTACATTCTTCCCGTTACTTTCCTCCACTACAAATCCACCACACCCTAATGCCTATTCCACTAATGCTCAGTATTCCCTTCTTCCCTACCACGGGGACCGCACGTCATTACACAAAGTAAAAAGTAAGACAGTTGCGTCAGTCATTGGATCAATGTATTCTTCAAACACACAAGCTTCTTATTCATGATTTAGACTTTGATTTGTTAGAGTTTAGCTTCTTATGATCGTTGTCTACACCGAAAATGCTCTCCCTTGCCAACTTGCTTCTTGGCTCGTTCTGCATAACTGCATCGAGGTACGTCTGCGTCAGCCACATCAAACCATAACTCTGAAGCCTTAACTCTTAAGCCAAAGCGTACACCCGAAGCTCCAAAATACATATCATACAATACATGTACTACGAGGCTTGATCGACAAGGTCATAGCGACGCTCAAACCCTTAGTTGGTACATTCGTAGGCGAACACATTACATGTACTACAGGTACAGGGTCATCACCTTTCTCCTTTCCTTCTGTTCCTGGCGCCTTGCGAAGTCCAACGCTGCCTGAAGTCTCCGCGGCCTCAATAACTGCGCAAGCGCAAAATCTTGAAATTACACATCTAGACCATCGAACCACTAATACGTCTCAGCTTTCCCTCTCGCAGCAAACATGTCAAAAAATTAAGGGCTGCGGGCATTCAGCTTCGACTCACGTCTCTAGTTCTCACGAACACGGCGTTACGCCAAAGAGTTTTGCCGCAAAAGCTGCCTTCCAAAATCTTCACGGGGTCCAGTACAAAACGAGGCCCTAAAACACATGGCCAAACACACAGCCCTCATCCGTAAACCTTTAAAGAACTGCAAGCTACTCGCAGCTAGTAGCCTATGTACAGCCATAATCGTTTTGGAAAGCGAACAGCGCGTTTATAAAAAAAAGTGCTAGCCCTACCAATCTCGATGTAAGTTTGTCTGTGAGGATTGTTTGCATCGCCGCCTTCCCCAACCACGAGAGGGGCAACCTGAAACAGCAAATACCATACACCCTCATCGGCAACCTTTAAGCCCCGTAGACGTGATAGTCAAAACCTCGAGCAGCAAACCAGAATGCGAGGAATGTGCATGCACCCAATCCCTCAAAACTCTGCCCCACACCAGTAACACGAAGCCCGTAGCACCGACTTGCCTGGTAGTGCCTAAACCAAATGCGGCAGTCAGCGACGAAGAAGCACATCACGTGGTCAAAGAAAGGCTTGGATTTAGGATGGTTCCTCGGTGTACCGAAAACCTACGCATATAATCGCCAACCCTATACAACAAACCCCAGATTCCTGACCACTTAAGTGGTAGCTGTTGCGGGCGCTTGAAGTTCTTCTGACGCCTTAACCCCCAATCCAAATTCACAGCAAGAGTCCCGGATCCCTTAGCAAGCTTCGAATCAGACTCCCTAACCCTGATTCAGACACTCCATACCGGAATCCCACACCTCGATGCCTAAATTCCAATCCATACCTGCGTGAACAACTCCTTAAGAACCCTGAACTGTGGCTCTCTGTCGAATTCAGCGGCGAAGACCAGCAACGGTCTTGAATGCAGCAAGCAATTCCCAGAGAGGCGCAACTCGCTAAGAGTCTCCACTGAACAGCAAGCGCAGAATACCAAGCCCAATCATCCTTGCCAGTCCACGATGTTTGGAGGTGGCACAGCATACGGCGCCGAGCAGAAGTGAAGCACGGTCCCATTTGCAGGTGCCAAAACGCACACACAGCCAGCTTCTAGATGCTTAACACCAATTCCTACCGTTCATCACTCTAGCAATAAAGGTGGGACCAAGAGGCACTTTGGTGACATGCAGCAGCGCATCGTTCTTTCGTTGTTCCAGATACACAACGGCGTTGCACCTAAGAGAACAGCAGCCACAACACGAGCAGCTAAAGCAGGCATTACAGCAAAGGAAAAGGCACTAGCTGAATGACTGCGACAGAAATAATGGCAGTGACTATCCCAGCAGCAGCCTGTTAAACAGCTTCAAAGATAGTTGCAAAAGCATGAAGGCCTTACGACCGCAGTTGGCAGAGTTCGGCAATATTCTGGAGCTTCTCCTTCTTCTCCCACTTCGTCTGCGACCACACACAAAATGTATTCTCTCGGCCCTTATTCCCAAAAAACCATCCAAAATCAAAAACACCTGGCCGTACTGCTTATCCGTATCAATAAGCGGCAAAGGGCAGGTGGGCTCTCATAGGCCTCCAGCATGGACTTTAGGATTTGCCTGACATTCGTAATGTCCCCATCCCATAACGCATTATTTAGAGGACATGCTTGCCTCTGCTTTATGGTGCGGAAGGAGTCTCTTAAGGTCCTCCATGAGATGCCTCGAACGTGCTGTGATACCGCGGCTGCCTAGAAGCAGGACCCTTTGGCGATTTAACCAGCGCCGTTCTGATCGCAAGTAATCTGCATCCTCCAGTAGATACGGGTCTGCTGCTACTGCTGCATCAATGGCTACTGCCACAGCATCTTTTTGCGGTGCTGATGCTTCAGCGGATGCCGCTGGTGCCGTTGCCGAAAGGTCGGCTTTTCCCGCTTCAGAGTCAGCAGTAATATCTCCTTCGGGTTCCAGCAGATCCTTTTCTTCTACATGGAGCTCTTGGCGCTTGTGATTTTTTCGCTGCTGCAGCTGCTGTTGCTGCTGTTGAAGCCGGGGCCTCTTCGAGTCCCTGTGGCACAAGGTTAGGCCCCTCGAGACTGTGGTTGCCTCTTCCTCCTTCCTGCTAGCAGTTACACCAGCTCCCCTTTTGGCCGCTCGTTTTGAGTCTGCAATCCCCGCTTCTCCAGCCGCTACAGCAGGCGACTTCTCTGCAGCGCTGGCTCCTGCTTGACGGCCCATTGCACAAAGCTGATATCCACGCAAAACTTTTGGCCCGCTTGAAGATGCTGGCAATGGCAGAGACTTTTCAAGTTAGCACGAGAGGAAGTAGTAGAATAACTGCCTCATCAGCAGCGCCAAAAGTACAAGTCCACCGGCCCCACATCGCGCATGCGCAGGACAATCGATAGCAGTAAAGTACTAAAGCTCTACCAACTAAAATAAAATCCTCCAGTAAATATTTTGAAAAGTCGAAAAACTCAGGAGTTTCATGGCATCGATGGCAATAGCGAATGACTTCTGTAGCAGCTTTGTTAAGCAACGATTCCTTCCAGCGCCCTTTACCCACCCCGGGCTGCTAGCAGAAACAAAGAGTACGATTCCAGTAATATCTGGTTAGACTGCTAAATCGACAAATCCACCTCGCCAAACCTCATAAGGCTTAGGTATTCCGCCGCCTCATCTAGACACAGACTCCCATTCCCTAGGATCAACCGTTTTGTGGAAAATTGCGAGCTCAACTTTGGTCACACTTTGCTTGGGGATGCACTCGTTACACGCTCTCTGTGTCACTAGCTGGATCAAGTTTATATTCACTCTTGCTTAGAAAGGAGGAAGAATCAGGCTTCAGCCGTTCCTACTTACCCATGAAGGCCGTAGGATTCAGTCGCTGGCTGACGAGTTCAGCTCTTTCCTAATAAGGACTACTTCACTTTATTTGCACACCCCGATCTGATCGTTTTTCCTGTGTGCTTCAGATTCCCATTGCCATTCTAGGACTGGATCTTCGGGCCTGTGTGCAATTCAAATGCCAGACATGTTCAAGCGGACATAAATACTTGCTTTGCACTAAAACGCTAGATTGGCCGCCCGCATGCCAGCCCCCCGGTGGATACTGTACTGCGGTAAGCTTCATTTAAACATTTTCTGTTACATGAGTCAAATTAATAAAAACTTGGTAAGGGGTTTTATACTTAGCCTGACCGTTCGTATCTGTTATTTGTTCTGTAGTATAGCTCCCTCAAGATTGAAAAAGTTACGTTATGCGCCTGCGCGTTTAGTCGCTCTTCGCAAATGGATACGGGTGCAAGGACGCAGCAACGCATGCGTTAGCTGTCTCTGTCGTTCCGAGCCTAAACCCTTTGGGTTGAAAGCGGGGAGCAAGCGGAGCTATTTGGAAGCACAGTGAATCACAGTGAGCTAAGCTTTGTACCGGGTTCAAGGCCGGATGTATCCCAATGGAAACCTTAAGTGACTTACTACATGAGCTGTGCGTTTGTATCCAACGCTGATTACCGGCGATGATCAGCCAAAAGAGGGCTCAAAAATGAAAAACACTAGCGAGTGCGGGAGGGCACGAAGAGGCAGACATAAGGACAGACGCATACAGGCAACACAGGCAGACTGGTATCTTGAGATGCTGGAAGAAGACAAACACGAAAACGACATGCAGCACAAAGCATTAAAGAACCCGGACCAAGGCTGAGGCGCACACGAAAAGGACTGGTCGCCAAAAGGGGAAACAGGCCTACATAAGGATTAGGTAAAGGCTTTAAAACTCCACACGTGGCCCCAGAAGGGAAACAATTAAGTTTATGCACAATACAGGTTTCATATAATTGCCTCTAATCTCACCCTCCGAGCATTTCAAGCATCCATAGCTAGTTACAGGTAGCATATAGCGCATCAACACACGTTGATTCCTTTTTAATCGGGTTAACAAACTCTAAATAGCTCGCACACACACCGGTTTGTCATTTATCTGGTAGTTCTTAGCTAATATAACTAGTCTATTAAACAGTGAAGTGTGGCTTAGCCCGCTACAGCTGCGGAAGGAAGGAAAGACAAGAAGGCAAGGTGCAGACCAAAAGTTGGCTAACAAAAGAGTCATAAAGATATCCCAAATGGGAAAGAAAAGACACCCTGGGTCACCAACTGTGTGCCAACTCTGTAAACCATCCGCACTCACGTGCCGTTTCCGTAAAACCCCTGAAGGCAGTGGCTTGCCACAACATCAGCGGACAAAATAGGCTTGCCACGGAGCAAGAATTCATGGAGAAAGGCACTAGAAGAGTGTGAACAACGCGTGGACAAAGAACCAAAGACAAATGGTACTGGAGTTACTGCTTCCTTCCTGCAAGTGCTCATTCTGCGCTGTTGCTGGTGCCGCTTTCATAAAGATTTTCCCCGCGTTTATTTGCTGTAAAATTAGTCAAAACCACGAGCAACATAGGGTGCGAAAATTCATCTGTTCGTCTTTATCAGTCTCGCTGCCCGTGCTGCTCTTCAGCAGGGGTACTTGCTCCTGTTTCTCCTGGTTTTGCATGCGGCTTGAAGCTACCAAAGTATTGCCCTTACTACTCGATGCACACAGCTCAGAACAAGCTGCAACTCTTAATACAGCATGAAGCGATGAAAGGGTTGTTGCTATTGTAAGGGGCTACTGCTGCTACTGCGGCAGCCGTAGACTGTGCAGGTCACCTACCGTCGTATAATGCTCTCTGTCCTTTTGTATGACCCTGAAATATTCATATGCCTTTAAAAACACAAGCATTATGAATTATTATAGTGCGAGTTCGCCTATATGGAAGTAACACAGCGTTGAAAGGCCCCCAAGCACCACGTACGAGACTTCTGCTGGCATCTACTGCCCAATCAACCACTCCAGCTGTTAGCGATTACCTTTTAATTTCGCCCTTTATCGTTCAAAATATGTTGACTTGGCAATCCTGTTTTCTCACCCACACAGATGCACTACGCCTGGAGAGGTAGCAGCATCTGCAGCGGCAAAAGGGGGCAAGGTAGGGGTGGTTCGTGTTGTCACCCCTCAGAATAGGCAAAACTTCAGTGTTTTTGGACCGTCTAAATACTAGAGTGTGGGACTCGGTGCTGGCACACAGTGAGCGGGAAAGGCCACAAGGAGGAGGGATGTGCACACATCGATGAGAACAGAGGCTAGAAAAGGCAAGAGGGGAGACTGACTGAGATTGGGATACAGAGAGACGTCCACACAACTAGAGAATCTGGGGAGCAAGGATAGAGAGAAAGGGAAATAGAGCAGCAAAGTTAGGGGGACCAGTGACCAAAGGAGGGCACGAAGCGCAGCGACAAGCGCAAGGAAATCAAGCTGTGATATAGTAGCCAGGGGCACAAAGAAACGAGCCCGAGAGGGAGCACAGCCAGTCAAAGAATAAGAAAGAGAGCCAACTCATACGAAACCGAGGAATAAATGTGACGGCACCAGAAGTGCAGCTCAAATCTTCGGTAGATGAGATATTAAAACAATACCCATTACGGAAAACAAAGCACTGGTAGACATATAACCCAGGTGCCGGAGTAGTTAACCGAGGACATCCCATGAAATCCCGGCAAAGGCAGACGGCAGGAATCCATCGCTAACAGGCAGCATAGAAACGGAGATAATAAACACAGGACTGTCGCCTGCTACAATGCTCCCTATACATCCCACGCATATCCTTCCGTCTCTTTCGTGCAAGCCAATGCAACAGCGCTTGCTCTATCAGCAGCGCCAGCAACAGCGTGTTGTTGTTGCATTCGATATATCTAAAGGGGATGACCTGGACCCAAACAAGCCGTCCTTGCGACGCTGCTGCCAGTTGCTTCGGCAGCTCGGGTGTGTCTGCGTGGTCAATAAAGCTTCGCTGACGCTCAGTCGACTGCAGAAGCACCAGGTATCTTTGCTTATCATTGGCCAGCCTTCCAAGCCCTATACAACGGATGAACTACTTGCGATAAAACTCTTCTTAGAGACACCCCAAACCAACGCAGCGCCCCCTGGACCAGCAGCTGCTGCTGATGTACCCGCTGCTGCATCTCCTGGTGATGAGGCACGTGAGACCAGTCCTGCTTTAGAATCAGCTAGTGGGGCTTCACCTGCTGCTACTGCGGTAGACAGGTCTAGCGCTGCTACCGATGAGCAGATAGTAGCAGCGTCACATGGAACAATGACGATAAATCCTGCCCCAACAGTATCTACAAAAACGGTGCTTGCACCTCAGGCACGAAGTGTCTTTGTTTTAGGAGGCAGCAGTGGAGGAAGTAGTAACAGCAGCAACACTAATTTCTTACTGGAGGAGATGGGCCTCTCCATCGCTACAGACACTGTTGTAGCGGTCACTCCCCCTACACTGCAGGAGCAACAACGGGGCATATGGCACCCGAGGGAGGTTGTGCTGAATCAGAAACAGTTAGTTGGTGCCAACATCCAGCAACATCTGCAGCCCAGCACCACTGCCAGCAGCAACGACACTAGCACATTTGTTTATCCTTATGGCTCCACAGTGTATGTACAGCCTCCCGCTGTCCCGCTAATGTGTAGCAGCAGGTGCAGTAGCCCCTCTCAACGGCCTTTGATTGCTGCTGCTCCCGCTGCAGGTGGAGGGGTTGTTGTGGCTGCAGGTAGCAGCAAGCTACTACAGGAACCATATCTAAGCATGTATAAAAACACGGATTTGGTAAAAGTTCTGCTTCACTTGTTGCTGGGCCGCATGTCGCTGCAGGAGCTGCGGCCAACTGCAGCTGAAACAGCAGCAGCAATAACAAAGTATACACGTCAGACAGATACCGAGCTTTTGTCTCAATTACCCCAGCCGTGCATTGAGGCACCACCCGAAGTTCCTAAGGATTTTCGCCTGCTGCATCAGCAGCAGTGCTATACATTGAGGCCTCGTCTAGTGCTTCAGCTACAGCAGCTGTTGCAGCGAGTCAACCTAAACCCCATTGGTGCGCCGCTGGAGTTGATACAGCCAAAGCTGCTACAGCCGTTCCCTTCGTTAAAGCCCGCGCTGCACCCACCGATTCTGCCTTCTCCACCACCCCTCCCTCTACCGTTGCTTGATATAGACACACTGTGCATGTCCCCAAGTCAGCGGCTCCTCGCAGCAGCAGGTGCTGCTGGTGCTTCAATCCCAACTGCAACAGCAAATGTGCTAGACGCTTCAGCAGAAACTGAAAAGGAACGAGTCCTGCAGCAGTTTGTCTTGAAGGCAGCCAAGATCACCGGTATTCTTCCAGAGCAACAACCACACCAGCAAGCAACAGAGGAAGCACAACATACAGAGCGAACAGCAGGAAATAGCCAAAGGACTGCACGAAGTGTTCTTGTAAAACTGCTTGTCCATTCATTAAAGGCGCGCGGCAGCAACTCCCTCAAACAGGTTAGCGAGTGAGTGGCTTCTACCTGAGGTGTTGGTGCCGCTGTTGCCCCTCCTGTTCTCGCAGCTTCGGCAAGCCTAGCAGGACGGTGTTTCCACTGGCGTACTCTGTTTCTGCTACGTCGCAACTCGCTTTGCTGTGAATAGCGCCCTAGGTTATTTGGCCTTAACTCTGGTACTTGCCGAATTCTGAGCCCACTAGGTGGCTACAGGGGGCGATGAGACCACCGCCCCTCAAAATGTTTAGACTAGCGCCTTACGGTCTCGATGACCGGACAGTATTTGGCGGGATGCTGCCAACAGGAGAGCCAGTAGCTGCACGCATCCTTCGTATTCGAGCCAAAGAGATTGCGTCGTCAGCGAGCATAGTGGCTGTTGCCCCTGCTGTGACTGCTCTAACTTCTCCTAGACAGAAGCACCTTCCTGCAGGTCGATCCAAAATGAGCAGGCTTTGCTGCTCAAGCTCCCGGATCCTAACTCTTCAGTTGCTGCTTCTGCTGCTGTTCCTGGTCGCCGTTGTTTCAGAGGAAGCGCCGGCAGCATATTGTGCTGCTGTAACAACGCTTCTAGTGACCCCAGGGCCCGCATGCTTCTGTCCTTGCTGCTCCGGCTGCTGGAGAGTGAGTCAACAGCAGCGTAAGAATATGGCGGGGGCGTGTCGCAAAGAGTATTCCTGCCATTTCTGCTGCTACAAAGGGGCTCAGCCGAAGCGCTGCGGTTTTCCCCGCACCTTTTCCCACTGCTGCTGCTCCTGCCGGCGTCTAGTGTCCGCGCGCTCAAGAAAAGGGGCCCGATACTGCCTCCTCTGCTGCTGCTGCTACCACTACTACTACTGCATTCCCGAAGTACCATTTGCTTCTCTCTGCTTGCCAATTCGCTCAACTGCCCTTTACATTGCCTCTCCTCAAATTGCAGGTGATTCAGCTCCCGATGCAGTTGCAGCAGCCGCTGCCCTGCCGCCTCTGTCTGTTGCCGCAGCTGCTGCAACATCTGCTGTGCCTTTTGCCTATTTCGCGCTGCCTCATCTCTTTCCGCATGCGCTATCCGCAAAATCCACTTGGCTCTGCGAGAGCGAAAGCACAACCACCAAACAGTAACAACAGCAAGGTACGCAGCAAAAGGGGCAAAAGGATTACCCTCATGCAAACCCACCAACAGGAATTATCGCCTCGCCTCGAGCAACCCCAAAAGAGTCGCACCGAAAGAAACAGCGCCAACAACACCACCCCCACCAGGGCAGGTGTAGTAGCAACAACAGCAAGAGGCGCTTAGTGCTTACATGCTAGCTTCCTGCGTCCAGTGCTGCATCGCCGCTCGAACTTTGTTTCGGTCCGCTGCTGCCAGCAACATCCGCAAAGCCTCCTCTTGGTATGCCCCTGCTGCAGATGTTGATGTAGCAGTGTGTCCATAAGAGTCATCGCCTGGTGCTGCTGTACCGACGGCCATGCCCTCTGCTGCTGCGGCTGCAGGGTCACCCGAGGCATCGAATGCGGCGGTAGCGGCTTCGAGCTTTCTGCTATTCCGTACAGCAACTGAAAACCTTGTGTTCTGCTGCAAAAGGTCGTGATATGCGATTTCGCAGCAGCAGGACTGCTGCGCCAGCAGCTCAAACACTTCAGCCTTCCGCTCCATTCGCTGTTGCTGTTGCCGCTCTATGTTCCGACGCTCTTGCTGTACCTGCAAAGCACACGAGCACCAAAGCACATAGATGGAACCGCTGTTCATGGTACAGCCTCAACTGCTGCTGCACCTGTGCAGCCCTTGATGCTGTAACTCCTGCTCCTGCTTTAGAGGCAGACATACTTCTTGCTGCTGCTGCTGCAACTGTCGCAGACGCTTTCTTGTAGCAAAAATGGAGTTCCGTATGTCACTCCTCTCTTGCTGCCGCTGCATGAAATAGCTGCTGCCCTTGTCGGTGGCTGTCTCATGATGCTGCTGTCTATCTCCTGCTACACTCACAGACCTGGTTACTCGCTGGATCAGCTGTGCAGCAGGTCCAAAACGAGGAGTGTCGCCAGGTTGCTCCTGGTGCTGCTGGTCTTCTGCGCTACTGTTGCTACTGGTGCTGCTTTGTTCGCAAGTCTTGAGCTTAACCCTTTGGCGAAAGCTGTACGAGCTGCCGCATTCGCTCTTGCTGCTGTTGCTTTTGCTGCTTCCTGCACTGCTGCTGCGGACAGAGTTGGTGTTGCTGCCGAGGCGTTGTTCCTGCACACCTGGCAAACTGTTGCTGCTGCTGCTGCCTCCTGCATGCAAGTCGGTGTCGCACGTCTCAGCGCTGCTTAGGCGGCTCTGTTTCTGAGGGTTCGATGCAACCGGCCGGAGCAGCTGCTCCTGATTCTTCTCCTCTTTTCTTTGCTCCTCCTGCTGTTCGTTATGGTGCTCTGGCTGAAGCTGGTGGTCGGTTTGCTGCTGGTCCTCTGGGCGTTGCATGGCTTTCGCGTGCGTGGGTAAGAGCAGTTCCAGTGACAGCTTTTGTAGTAATGAAGTAGCGAGTGATTTCGGGTTTATCTTTTCTTTTCCATCCACTGATTTTGTCGTCGCCAGCTCTTTTGAGGCGTCTGTTGAAACGCTGCCCTCTGGACATATGGATGTCGCAGCAGGCAGTCCATCTCGTGCTGTTGCACCTGCAGTCGTGCTTGCACACTTCGAATGAACTGCTGCAGCTCCTTCTAGCGACTTTTCAGGATCTGTTTGCTCCAATAGCTGTGCATCAAGCCTCTCTCCGCCCCTCATGTGTGCCTGCTGCAGCAGCAGCAGCTGCTGGCGTTGTTGCTGCACAGTTTGTTGCGCCGCAGCCAATGTGACTCTGAGCTTCGCTGCTGCTGCCGTCTCAGATTCTAGACGATCCCGAAGTCCTGCTTCTTCTCTCTGTATCATCAACATCTGCTGTTGTTTCTCTCCGTTTTGTCGCTGAGTCACGCAGCAGGAGCAATGCCAAGAGCAGCAGCAGCACTGACGGGCAAGTAGCGCCAGCAGAGATACAGCCACACCAGTGACAGCAAAACCAGCAGCAACCGCAACGCCTGGCCGTACATTTAGAATGTCTAGTTTTTGCTGCTGCAGCAGCAGCTGCTGCTGCTGTTGCTCCAGTTTGTGCTGCAATTGCTCAGCCTTTTGGTGTTCAGCCTCTCGCTGCTGTTGCAGCTGCAGGGTCTGTGCCAAATGCTGCTTGCATGCTTCGTCATGCTGCTGCTGTTGCTCTTGCTGTTCCTGTTGCTGCTGTGATACCTGGGCCTCAAGAGCCGCCTTTTCCTGCATTAAACAGCGCAGCAGCTGCTGCTTGATCGTGAGCTGCTCCTCTTGCTGCTTATTTTGCTGCTCCAAAGCATCGCGTTTCCCTGCCTCCTCTGCTAGCAACTCCTGCACCAGCAGCAACAAGAGTCAAGGGGCAAGAGAGCCTTTGTGTACCAGTAACAACAAAACAAAGGCCACAGAATTTAGCGTTTATAGTGCCCAAGGAACGTCACAGACGGTATTCCTGTACACAGGCAACTGGCAATAGATAGACCTGCACTGTAAGTGTCACCTGCAGTTCATGCTTGAGCGTGGCCAGCTCGTGCTTTGCCAGCAACAATTCATCGCTGCTGCTACTGCCCTTTCTGATCATCTCTCTTTGGGCTGCAACTTCCCGCCGTAGCAGCTGTTCCTGCTGCAACACCTGCTGCAGCCGCTGGCTTGACTCAGCCTGCAAGTAGCAACACAAAAACGCGTCCCTTCAGCCACAGTGTCAGCGGCACTAAGAAGCATGTCCACCTCCGCTTAAAGGCAGGATCAGCTGTCAAAGAAAATACAGCATGGACGTTACACAGATGCAACAGCGGCAGCAAACCTTAAGGGCAGCATATTTCTCCTCGAAGCCCCGCTCTGCAGCGTCATTGTGTTGCTGCAGCTGTTGAAGTTGCTGCGCCATTGCATTTGCGTCCTCCTCTTGCTGCTGCTGTTTGCACTGTAGCCGCATCAGCTGCTGTTGCTGCTCGTGCATTGCCTGCTGCTGCTGCTGCTGCTGCACCATTGTTGTAGCAAGCCGCTTCCGCGCCTCCTCCAGCTGCTCCTTCTGCAGCATCACCATTTGCCTCTCCCTAAAAGTCAAGCACTGCTCGAGTAATGCTCTAGCTTTTTAACTTCACAGCAAACGAGGAAGTGAGGAAGGGATGGCACAGAGAAAGCTTCTTAGCGGCTGTGCACCTTAAAACTACGGCTGTCGTTTACCATGCGTGCTCAAGAAGAAGCCATGCGAATGAAGGCTAGCAATACAGAGTACATGAAATCTGGTCTACGATGCTTGTGGGTTACCTCTCTAGCTGGAGTCTATCTGCATCTCTCTCTTTGAGCAACTTCTGAAGTTTGTTCTCCTTGTGAGTCGCTGCTGCGTTGAGCTGTTCGATGGCCTCGTGCATTTTTTGCTCCTGCTCCTGCTGCTGCTCTCGCTGTTGTTGTAAGTCCTTCTCCGCCTGCTGCAGCAGCTGCCTCTGGCTCTGCAGCTCGTGCTTCTGCTGCTGTACCTGCTGCTGCAGCACTATACTGCCCTCTTTTAGCTGTCGCAGCTCTGCTGCGCTGTCTTCTTGGTGCCTTTCCGTTGCTGTCCTCTCCTGCAGACAGCAGCGCCCGGTCGTAGCAGCACACGCTACGCTGGTAGATGCCAAAGTTGCTCTGTTTGCTGCAGCTACAGGCCTTAGAGTCTGAGGTAGGGGTGGCTACCTCCTCCCTTTGTAGCTTTAGGGTTTCCACGGTTTGGTGAGCCTCTTCGAGCTGCTGCTTCAGCTGCTGTAGTTGCCTTTCATGCTTGTTCTCAGCTTCCTGCAGCTGCTTCCGGCCAGAAAGTTGCAGCTCTTGCAGTTGATGCTGGTGCTGCTGCTGTAGCAGTTGCTTCTGCTGCTGGAGGCGCTCTTCAAGATGCTCTGCTGCCGCTGTTGCTGCTGCTGCTGCCGTGTTGCACTGTTCCTGTTGTTGCTTTTGAAGCGTCTCCACCTAGTACACAAAAAACGTACCAGAACAGCTGAACTCATAGTCCAAAATACCATTTCGAATTCTTTGGGAGCTACACACGACAGAAGCCATAAAGCCCATGTGGGCTGTACAGGAAATTGGGGGCTTATTCGGAATCAGCGCTTACCAATGCCACTTGTTGCTGCTGCGCCTCTGAAGCCTGCCGAAGCTGCAACTGCAGATCAGAGATATGCTGCTGAAGCTTCTGCACCTGATGCTCTCCTGCTTCAACTGCCCTTGCTGCTGCTGTGCCGACCTGCAGCAACCCCAGCCCACTGACTGCACACCTAGATTGCGAAATCGCAATCCACAAACTCTGAATCTGAGGCTTCCTAAGCCACATCCCACGCCCAGACTTGCCTGTATATCGCAGAGGGACTTAAAACCAAAGAGGCTGTCTTCCATCCACATTGCTGCATCTCTAAAGTTGTGCTTCAGCTGCACGCGGAGCAGCTGCAGCTGCTGCTTCAACACTGCAACGTCCCCTGCCGCAGCAGCAGTGCGGCATCTGTAGTTCTGCTGCAAGCTGATATTTTGCTGATGTTTCTGCAACTGAGATTGCAATGATAGCTCCTGCTGCTGCAACATATCTCGGCGCTCTTGAAGATTTTTTTCTGCTGTTTGCTGCTGCAAGTGCTGCTGCTGCAGCAAACGTTGTTGCGTGTGTATATCTTGGAACTGCATCTGTTTCTGTTGTTGGCGTTGTACAAGCAGTCTCGCTTGCGTTTTTGCGTCCCCCATCGCTCGCAGTTTGGATCCTCGCTTTCCATGCTGCTGCTTGTTCTGTTGAGAGGGGTGATCTGACAACTTCGAGTTGTCACCATGATGTTCGGTTTTAGCAAGAACTCTTAATCTTGTGCGACCTTTGGCGGAATTCGCTGCTCTGCTTGTGCTCCTCTTTCCACTGCTCTTACTTTTGCTGCCACGGCCACTCTCACTTCCACTGCAGCTACTCGCAATTTCGCTGCTACGGCTACTCGCACTTCTCCTGCAGCCGCTGGCAGAGCTGCTGCTCCTGCAGATCTGCTCGTCATGCTGGAGATCCCTGTAAGTTCGCGCCTTTGGCCAGACAACCTGCTGCTGTTCTTGCCGCATTTGGTGTTGTTCCAGAAGCGTCTGCTCTGCATGCTGTTGCTGCTGCTTCCTCCGTGCCCTGCTCTCACCAGAGAGCAACTGGCGGCTGCGAGAAAGAAGAGATTCAACAGAGTCGCTGCTGTGCTCCCTCTGCTTCTTGTGCTGCTGATGCAAATCGTGGCCATGCATAAACAAGAGATGCTGCTGATCCTCCAGCCGGATCGGCTCTTCTTGTGTTCGCGAATGCTGCTGCGGCTTGTGCTTTCCGCTACCTGCGCTACTGCTGCTTCGTTCCCTACTACTTCTGCTGCTGGGGTGGCCTCGATGACTACTAGCTTTTTTTCCAGCTTTCTTTTCTCTCTTCTCATGCAGCCTGTTGCTTTCTCCTGTGCTGCTGCGTAGCCTGCAGTTGCCGTAGCTACTGCTACTGTTGCTGCTGCGCCGGCCTTTTCCAGTTTCGTTGCAGCTGCTTTTTCGAACACGCGGTGAGCAATGCACTTCCCTACGCCGCCACTGAGTCGATCCTTTTCCACCCTCGCTTCTTCTACTGCGCGTATGACTGCTGTCGCTGCTGCTTGGCGGAGAGTCTCCACCGCAGCGGCGAAGGCTCCCTTTGCTGATTTGGTCGCGCTGCTGTTGCTGCTGCTTAGATGATTCAGCAACCTGCTGCTTCTGCCTCTGAAAATGATGCAGTAGATGTTGCCTTGCCTGCTGCTCCTGCTGACGCTGCAACTGCTGCCTCTGGTCCTGCTGCAGTATCCTCCAGCTCTCTGCCGTTGCTGCAGCAGCTGCTGCACCGCCCCCCTTGGCTTCATGAGGGCCCCCCTGGAAGTTTCGGTGCATCAAATTATCGCATCGGCTGTGTCCATCCTGAGTAACCGGAAGACTGCTGCAGCTGTTGTCCTGTTGCTGCGACGGCTGCCTATGCTGCTCGAGCCGCTGTTGTCGCCGTTGCAGCTGCACCTGTTGCTCCTGCTCATCAGGAGGCATCACACTGCCTCCTCCAATATGGTTGCTGAGGAGAAGGGCAAAGAAGTCTTCGTCCACCATTGGCGCTGTTGCTGCTTCCCTTGCTGCGGTGTTGAGTCGGTTGGCTCGGTTTCCAGTACCCCAACAGCCGCATGTCGATGAATCCCGTTATCCTCTACACTACCCTAGTACTGCTGTAGGCTCTAGAATGTAAATTCCAAATGCTGATCGTAATGTGGGAATCCTGAGGCCTACCTCCTTGTCGCAGTAATACAGTAGCCCAGCCTTAACGAAGGTTTCATTTCCTTACTGTCTGGACCCCTGGAGAAGCTGACCACTGTCCGTAGACTTGTCTGTCTCGTATTTCGTGTTTCCTTCCTCAGTTGCCGCTGTTGTTGCTATTGCTGCTGGTGCTACGCAAATACGGCTAGCGCGCGTCGTCTGCGGCACGGCATGCCATTGCAGTTTTTACGCGGTCTGCCCACCTCTCCCCCAGCAACAAGCAATTAATAAATTTAAAATTAAGAAATCATCTATTGGAGACAGACATGGAAATTTGCTGCGTAGGGGCCCCTCTGGTTGCAACGGGGCTGCGAGGTCTTCGGCTCCTTAGGCGAGGTCCCCCTTCTTACTGCCGCGATTGCTGGTGGTTGTAACATGTTTATTGAACAGCACTAGACTACTAATCATATGATCCTTCTTTATTAGCAACAATATATTCCTTAGAGATTGAAAGAGCGAATCGTCTAGCCCTCTGACCTTAGGCTGCTCATGCCTGTATGCAGAACCACCAAGTAGCCCAGTGGCCTCCACTTGTGCTCTAACATTTTCTCCTCTTATTACGACGTTAACCATATATTTATGTATAATCAATCAAAAACTTATTTAACTTGAAGTAAACGCGGGTTTAGTTGATTTGAGTCCCCAGGACAACCTCATGACGTAGAACCAGAAGAGCAGAAATGCACCCCCTAGTAGGCGGGGCCCGTTTTAATAAGTATGTCTATGTGCATTATATTTGTCTCTCTTTTCTGGAGATGACATGTGTAGAATATCAAAAACTCGTGTTTACACGCTGTTACCTTTGATGTAAGGACTTTATTTTCTCTGATCTCGGAGTTTGGGTGTGAGCGCGAACTGCAATAGTTCAGGCTGCGTGTGGTACCTTTACTCTACCCACCTCTTGCCAATGTTGGGAACTAACCTTATCAAGTGACGTTTTCTTGATGCTTGAGTGCTGCATATGAATCAATTCGCATTTTTGCCCCGTCCAGAGAGCTGGCAAGAAACTATGAGCGCCTTGCCTTTGGAGGTCAGCAGAGTTAATGCATTGCACCGAATTGCCAGCTGATCCAAAGACCATTCATAATACATGTGCATATATGTTGTGCAGTGAGCCGAAGGCGATGCTTATCTTGTAACGTTCCACGGGCTTTCTCTTTGGAAGGGGAGACTGATGTCCAAACCGTACAGCGGTCTCCGTAAGGAGTCACTCAACTCCAGACTCAATACAAACTATCACGATGTTATCGGATGGTCATTTAAGAAGCCCCACCCTATCCTACTGGCATTCCTCACGCCTCCTGGCAAATGGGGAAGGAAACACCTAGGCTGCGCCTACCTCCACCGTCAAAGCACTCCTAGCATTCACTCCTGGTTCTGCATACTACTCGGTGTGTAAGCACACAGTGCTGTGTCTTCTACCATCGAGCTAACATTACTCTGCACTAACTGAAACAGACAAACAGACAATTCAATACATTCAATTTATTACTAATTCGCAGTTAAATATAACTAATG